TTATTTTATTATTTTATTATTATTATATTTTAACATAGAATTTAATCGACTTACATTATTTTTTATGATAGCTTTTAATTCAACTTATTTTTATCTTATCGTCTGCTATGTGGATATGGAAATATTTCTATAATTGTATATGCGCAATATAAGTTTTATATTTATTATTATTATTATTACAGCTCAGTCTAGAATATAGTTTGACTGTTTTGTATCTCTTAGGGCAAAAATGGATGGAAACTTTGTGGGTCATGTCTGAAATATGTCAAGACATTTAGTTAAGAAATGAAAAGCTACAATCTTGAACAAAATAAATGGAAAACCTAGACCCCCCATGCTGTTCCATTTTATTTTGTCCAAGATTGTCTGAAAGCCTTGACTGGCGTTACTCACAGCGTCATGATAGCAATCATAACAAGAAATCTGCGTTCAAACGCTTTAAAGCTAAATGCTTTCAAAGCAAACCTGGTCATTTGTCAGTGAACTCATACAAAACAGAAGAATTGCGCTTATTTCATTTTACATAAAATAAATAAATAATCCACTTATCATAAGTCTGTATGAAGTGCGGGATGCATTACTCACTAGGAGAGAGTTCTGCTGCGTGGAAGACGAAAAAAAGACATACTTATGCCTGATTCATTGCAATAATTTTAATAAGCTTGAAGGCAGACAAAACCTATATAGAAATTGCATCGGCTGGTAATTGCAGGAATAATTATAGTAAGAAAAAAATTTAATTTGGCTACAAACGAGACTCGAACCTGCCCAAAAAACCTCAGGTACGCTACTCCTACTCGCCGATGTTGCACGCTAGACCTCTAGGCAATCCATGGAGAGGCTGTTGCCTTGGCTCTATATTTAAGAACTGTATCGGTGCGTTTATAGATCATTGTTAGCGATATTTTACCTATATAGATTGGTTTTTTTCATTCTAGGAAATCGAACACGATTAATGTTGACAAACATAAGGATTAGCACGATTTACAACAGAGTGCCGACGGTTTTTATCGGTTTTTCACGATTTTGTCTTAGTACAGTAAAGTAAGAGACAGTGAGTCACTTTCATTTCAATTGGCTGTAAATCGTGATTAACCGTTGAAAACCGCTGAAAACCATCTTATATCACACAAAAACCTTTTGTAAACCGTCAGTGAAACGTCGACCGTGTCATTTTAACAAAGTTCGAGTGCGCTACACACAGTTTAAAAGTTTTAATTAGTAAAGTTTTAGCCTTTCATCGTTGTTGGTATTTCAGCGAGGTATAAAAAGTCCACAGTCTAGTGACTCCTGAGAAATAACATTAATGGTCCTTTTTACCCTGTTACAGTGAGAACTCTTTATATGATTTGTGATTAATGCCATGTTCAAGAGCGCCTTTTTCTAACGTCCCAGACACGATGTGCAAAAATGTTCTCTTAGGGTATAGTAAGTATGGACGTCCTCGATGACACTTGTGACTGCGGGTCACAGACCAATGTTTTCAACCGATAAATGTGTTGAAAGATGACTCTCTAATTAACAGTGACCACTATTTCGTGACTTAGACACCTTCGAGACAATCTTGGACAAAATAAATGGAAAACCTAGACCCCCCCTCCCCCCCAAATCAAGGATGGGAAAATGGCACGTTTTTGCCCTTCGCGCGCCTTCATCCTTGATTTGGGGGGATGGGGGTTTGCTGTTCCATTTTATTTTGTCCAAGATTGTAGCAAAAAATTCGGTCATTACAGTAATGAGCAAAGTTGTAAGTTGTTTAAATCTGGAACCTGGATGTCTTATATTTCAATTTGCTTTCAGCCATCAGTCCGAAAGACTCATAATGGTGGTCGAAAACACAAAGACAATGTGCGTTTTTACTACACCAAGTGGATGGAAGAACAGGCACAAAGTTTGATCGATCAGACAAGTATGTAACATGAGTTAAGCATTAGGTAACTGGTCAGTTGGAGCCTTGTCACCTGGCCTACTTAAAAATTGCCTGCTTCTTGTAAGGTTACTTACCTATTTCTGTAGCTATCTTGACTTAGTGCTATCACTTACTAACTATAAAATAATATGTTCTCATTCATAATTGTGTGATATTAAACATATTGTTTTTTTTTAAGTTGTGATCTATTATTACTATATTTGATAATACCGGTACTATTATCTCATTTTGTGTCTTTTTTTTTTTTGAGGGGGGGGAATAGTTTATTATTTTTATTTAAGCATTCCAAGCTAGTTTGCTATGAACTAAATGCACTTGATAATATACTATTTTGATAATTTGACATAATTTTCCATAATTAACTTTCTTGTGACTCTTTAATTTCAAATAGTTATTCATTCATTTAGATGGATAAATGAAGCATGATTTTTCATGGTCAACACTCCTATGACCCCTTTTGTTCCAAAAAGTTTAAACCCGTGGTTTCTCTGCAAAGTTTTCAACATTAGAAACTGTAAAGTTGATGGTAAGATCCATAAGGTTACAATGTATAAGCAATGGAAAATAATATTGTTGTGGTTGATGCACTTTCTGCATTAACACCTAAATTTTGAAATTATGCCAAATTCCAGCAACGTTTGCTTAGAAAGATAAAACTGAGGTACCTCCCCTCTCTATATTTTCAAGGACATTAGCCTTTCACCAGTAAGCTCACAAACGAGGTGTGTTTTAAGCATAATTTTCAACTCCTTTGTTGTTGCTTTCTCTCACATTTATCTGTCTTTCTTTTACAGCTGCAGCATACCAAGCCACCTCTACAGTTCCACCACAAGTTCCCCACATGCCACCTCCTGGAATGTTACCACCCCCACCCCCTGGAATGATGCCACCACCTGGTGCGCTACCTCCTCCAGGAGCATTACCATTTCCCATGCCCCCACTTGGAGCAATGCCACCACCAGGGGGTATAAGACCACCTCCTGGAGCACCTCTTGGACCCCCACCCAGAATGGCTGGACCACCGCCCGGAGAGAATCAACAGCGACCACTTTTTGGAAAATCTTAATGAAGAATTCTATTGCTAGGAAAAATGAAATTTGATTTTAGACCTTTTTGTACATCCTTTTGTTTATATTGTTTTTTCTCTTGGAATCTTCACTTTTGATGATAGAAACTTGTCCCCAATGTGTTACATATAAGTTATAATAATTTGTTGTAAAGAGTAGTGGATGTTCATGGTGCCAGATAGCTCAGTTTATTTCCCCTAGAGCACTTGATCATGAAAGGCATTCAAAAGTAGACGAAAATGAAGTCTTTGAAAGTGAATGTTGTGTAATTAAGTAATTTTTTGTCCAGCGATTTTCTCGGGACTTTAGGAAGTGTGCACCACAGATGAACAGTCATTATTCTAGATAGGTAGGGGAACCTGTTCATGCTACTACATGTACACACTAAAGCAGACAAAATAATTGGAGTCACTGCTAAAAATAAAATATTGTTCTGGCAGTCATAGGTATCCCCATAAAAGCTTTGAGTATAATATGTTGTGGTTTAGTTTTTATCCTTCGTCTAGCCTGCGTTGCTGGCAAAATTGTTTTTGCACATGGGAGAGGTTTCGCAACAAAGCCGCCATTTTGGTTTCAAAGCATCTCCTCCACATTCTCTGCACATCCCCCCAGCTCCTCTGCCAAAACTTTCCTCAGGTGAATGATCCGGCCAACTACACAGGCTATCCTTGGTCCAGTTTTATTTTCCTTTTTTTTTAATTTTATTTTTCTTCATACCTTACCATTCACAAAAAATAAATTAAAATTAGAAATCGGACCAAGGATGAAATTAAATCACATTGCATGTACCATAGAAAACATCTTATTTATGAGTTTGGTTCATGAGGTAAAAAGCAATAAGAGAGAATACGGCAATAAGCAATAAGAGAGAATATGGGCGGGGGTGGCCTGAGGCTCCCCCTTGTTTTTAGACCAAAAAAAAAATTTTAACCCCCCCCCCTTATCTCAGGGTCCGGATGCCCCCCCCCCCTTCCTTATTTGAAGGTCTGGATCCGCCACTGCTACTTGGACTTGAATCTCAGCTAATAAATTTTAACTTAATTGGTTGTCCATTTCTTGTAAATACATGTAAGTTTCCCGTGAAATCATACCATCATACTGTGAAAAGAACTCAGTTAATTTTGAGGTTGGTCCTCTGTTAACAAAGTTTTTAGATGTCACTTGGTAATGGCACCATCTGTTACTCCAAGAAATCCTCTCTTACCCTAAGACTCTGATATCTCTAATTAAATTTAATTTTTACATCCAAGTCTTTTTAGTATAATTCTTTATTTTTAATGTGCATACGTTTATTGATTAAAACGACTTGCTTGCTTCACGCAACATTAAACCCACAGACTCATAGACATTTCCAAAAAAGTTCCGTTTACACTATAAAGCTAGCTAAATCTATTCCTGGCAAAAATTCATCCGCAAGAAATGGGTGGAAAGGGGGAGCCCATAACACATTATCATCGACAAGTTGTCAGGGGTGGGGAGGCTGCTACAAAACATAAGTTCTCAGGGGTGGGGTGGCTGCTACATTAACATAAGTTAATCAAACCAATTAAGTTTTTTTCTCTAAGTGTAAGTGAGTTTTTAGATGTCAATGAACACGAGGCTGCGGCTAATCTGTATTGAGAGCTTCAGCGACGGCGAAGGCGAGAGCAGCGAAAACTTGACTACTGAAATGAATTCGCGTTCTTTCAAATTTAACTTTGTCGTGTTTCAGTTCAACTCTGCTCAAAACGCCAAATGTAGGTGATTTTCACTGGAGTTAAATTCTTGAGCACCGCAACCAACTTCAGAAAGGGAAGAAAACACTGAGAAAAATGCGATGTCGTGTGTTCATGTCCTCCATAAAAAAATCGCATTAGGAAGTTGGTCGAGTGCAGGATCGACACAAAAGAAAACTACCAAAAAGTCTTCAGCACATGCAAAATTGTTGTTGGTCAGGGATTAAACCTATTACTTTTTTGACCCTGTATTTTTTTTTCTCTTTAGAGATCGTGGAAAGCACGTATGAAAATAAAAACTGCGAGGTGTTTTTTTTTTCTCGCGTGATGTCGAATTTTCGGGAAAAAAAAAAAAACAGGCTAATGGCGTTTACGTTGCAGCCGCCATCGTCTTAGATAAAGCTCCTTCGTGTTAAATACTTAATGTTTTCGACAAATCACCAACAGCATAACAGCGTACCGGTTCGGTACCACTAGCTTATGATCATGCCGTTCCTATACCGGTATCCGTTACTGTCTGTCTGTACCCGTGGGTTAGCATCTTCATTCTAGGATAAAAATCTCTTTTTTGTGTGAACAATTACTCAGTACCTGTCGGGAGGCAACGTCACGTGTCAAATGTTACTTGTTATAGTGAGTTTGTCAGTGCCCTTTCGGTGGTACTTGTCTCGCTTTGTCCCTACCCATTAGGGCTTAACTATTTTGTCATGGCTGCACTGAAGTGCCGAAACAGTTTGCAGTTTTCTGGCTTCCATCTATCATACATATACATACATACATACTTTATTGGCTCGTCCCCACGGGGCTTTTCAGAGTCAATTTTACATTACAAAATTATAAACCAAGTACATGACAATAAGAATATAACAATGATAAAAGAAGACAAAGGTCAATAAAATTAATTAAATTAATTAAATAAAGCAGTCATTAAGAAGCTTTTGCCTGAGTAAACACTTGAATTCCGTCACGGATGGGCTAAGTTTGAGCGCAGGCTGCAACTCATTCCAGAGAGAGGTTGCTCTATATTGAAAGGTCCTTTGGCCGCTGGCAGTGCGGAAGAGTGGTATGTTCAAAAGTTGAGAATTTCTCGTATTCCTTGTCGAGACGGCGGATCTTCCAACGAGCTTTGATGTCAAATACTCCGGAGCACAACTCGTCATGCACTTAAAAACCAGAACAGCAAAACGAAAATAAAGTTGTTGCCTGATTGGTAGCCAGCGCAAGTCTTTTAGCAAAGGAGTTATGTGATCGAATTTTTTAGCGCCGCTCAAAATACGACAAGCGAAATTCTGTACTGCTTGGAGCTTGTCCAGATTAGTTTGAGTAGTATTGCTCCAAACAGAAGAGCAATAGAATAATTTACTAAAAACTAAGGCATTTATAATAATAATTAGCGCGTGTTTATTAAAAATATGCTTAACGCGGTTAATTTGACCCAAACGTGACATGCATGAGGATACAGTAGAAACAATATGCTCATTATATGTTAAGTTAGAGTCCAGTGTGACACCAAGGTCTCTTGCAGCCTTAACGGGCTCGAGTTCCTTCCCCAATAGAAATAGCCTAAAGTCGCTAACCTTAGCAGTCATTTGCCGGCTGCCGAATATCACTAGTTTTGTTTTATCTGGGTTGAGTAAAAGCTGATTATCAAAGCACCAATTCCTAATGCTTAACAAGTCCTTGTTCATTTTTTCTATCGTTTCGTGCTGATCGCGGAGTTGAAATGACATGAGAAGTTTGGTATCGTCGACGTAACACTGCGATGTACAATTTTCTGGCACAGAAGGGAGATCATTAACGTAGATGTTAAAGAGTAATGGGCCAAGGATGCTCCCTTGTGGAACGCCAGAACTAACAGGTAGTTTGGTCGACAGAGTTGTATTTATTCGCACAAATTGGTATCGCGAGGTTAAATAGCTTCCGAGCCATTTTATCGCAGGTCTGGACGCACCAATGTCCTGTAACTTAGCGAGGAGTATTTGATGGTCAATACTGTCGAAAGCTTTGCTTAGATCAAGGAGGACAACTGCAGTCAGTTTCTTTTTGTCAATGGCATTTAGGATTTCGTCAGTTGTTTGAATGACAGATGTTTCCGTTGAATGCCACTGTTTATTTCCGCTTTGTTTGGATGATAAACGGCCTCTCGAAAGTAGATATGACGTAAGTTGATTGTGAGCGACACGTTCACAGACTTTAGAAAGGACAGGGAGTAATGAAATCGGTCTATTATTGTTTGGAATATCGTGGTCTCCAGCCTTGAGTATCGGTGTCACTTCAGCTGTTTTCCAGGCCAAAGGGAAGGTGTCAAACTCAAAGGTAGCATTAATAATAGACGTTAACGATGGCAAGATAGCAGGCAAACAATCTTTGATCACATGGATTGGGATTTTATCAATCCCAGGGGCCTTACCACTGGCCATTGATGTGACAATTTTTTGTACCTGTTCGCACTTCACTGCGTTGAAGGTGAACTGCTCTGACAATGGGTAGATTCTCGGAATAAATGAACATTGATTAAGAGTATAATTCGATTCCTCTGCCAATTTAGTAATTCTATTGATGGTACTCTTTCCTACAGAGGAAAAGAAATTATTAAATTCATCAGCAACAATTTTGTCAATTATCGTCATGTTCAGGCGCCGTCGCGGTCCTACCAGTCGTCACTTCTCTGAACAAGGATTAGGGTGTGACGCAATTGTCAGAAGCGACTTCCATGGGGAGTCTTTCAAGATTACTCCGGTTGATTTGAGGCCTGCCCGCGATTGGTCTACCTCCGCGACCTTCCCGTTCAACTGTCCGACGGCTCCATCAGCGCGTTTTTGAAGCTCTTCGGGATTCTCCATTCGCTCAAGGCTTCTCTCCAACCTTTCCTTTACTCGAGTGAGGAGGAAGAAGGGAAGCTGGTGCTAAGCGTTTACTGAAGAAAAGGTTTCGGGTCTTTTGTCTGCACAGTGCCGGGGGGGAAAACAAGGCTGGGTGGTTTTGTTGTCTGCTTGCAGGGGCGTAGCGAGGACCTTTAAGAGAGCTGTTATTGCCACATTGTGATACAGAAGCATATACTATTTATTGTATAAGACTCCAAATAAAACAACATGTATGTCTGTATGTATGTAGCCTTGACCCCCACTTCTCTTTTTCCCTCCCCCCTCTGCATAAATAATGACCGCTCCTTTATCTCCGCCACCGCGATTGACTGAAGTTCACAGAGTAAGATAAGAGTCTGCTCGCGGTCTACGATTTCGTCAGCTTAGGGTGGGCTAGACCAGAAAGCTTAGATAAGATTCTGAGGTCCAGGTGAAAATCGAACTCACGACCCTCCGAGTTCTAGTTTGGACGCTCTAGCCACTGAGCTACTGGGGGCTCTACGGAAAGCGAGGTCGAAATTAAATTTAATTATAACTACACCAGTTATAGAGGACTGTATCGGGGACTTGCTGCCTTGCCGAGATCTCGGCATCTTACGTAAACTACAACAAAAAAATTTCGTCCCGTGCTTTTTACTTTTTCCTCTCCCTGGCCTCCCTACGACACAAAGAGGCCTCTTCGGAGGAAAGAGAACCGACCCCATGACGAACCCCTAAGTAGCCTGTTCCAAGCGTTCATGATCGTGGAGAGCGGTGCAGAGTAAAGAAAGCGATGAAAAGTAGAGGGGGACTTTTTTTTTCATTTTTTCGCGCTCCTTTTTACTTCGCACCTCTCCCCACTATCTGAACGCCTGGAACAGGCTAACCCCTAAGAACGTCTGCGGGCCAGTAAGGAATCATGTAATCAGTCCCTAAGAATCGTAATCTCCTTCGCAGCCGCTCGGGCCGGAGTCACGCAATGCTCCTCGTCCCCTGAAGGAGACATCTATAAGAATCGAGATCAGAATTTGCCAACGAGTGCAAAGTGGCAAACGGACGCACTAAAACAAAAGAAATAAATCTCTGTATGGCACTTTCGCGAGCAAATTGGGCGCTAAAAGAAAACGCCTGCACTGCGTGCTAATCTTACTACAACAGGGTTCGTACTCTTTTGAGCTCTTTAAATTCCATGACTTTTTCAATAACCTTTCTAAGTTTTCCAAGATCTTAGGTTTAGCTGTCACTTTCAAAAGATTTTAAAACTTTCCTTGTTTTAGGATATCTTTGGACCTGCAGTTCAATCGACACAAACTCTGGTGTCCACCACAGCGTTTGCCGTTTGCGTTGGTTATTACTCCTCTTTATCTTACATCGTCATTGCTTTGTCATCCGGGAGTAACTTATCTGTCAAACAAAACTTTAATTTTCCATTACTTTTAGGCTGGGAAACATCCGTTTCTCATCGCTCTTCGCCGCTGGGGACGTTTCGCGCGGAGGAACGTCTGGGATTGCCTGCGTGCAGACGTCTCCTATTTCCTTTGTTGCACGCGGAAAAGGGACGTCTGCGTAACGCCGTCGCTAATCGTGTTCCAGCGTCCCGCTGGGTTCCCAAGATCTTGGGAACATGCTGTGATAGGCTGACACACAGTGCGCATTGTTTGACTTAACGCTGATTGGTTGTTATCGAATCTGGACTGATAATGTATGCGGTGATTTATGTAATCGCGTTTTCCGCGTGCAAAAAAGGAAATAGGAGACGTCTGCACGCAGGCAACGTCTGGGACTCAGCGGCAGAAATTCCATGCTGATGACGCAACTCAATGTTTACTGAATAAATCCGGTACTCATGAGGTTCCAAATGCAAATTTATTCAATTTACCTTTCTCCTGGTCGATTTTGGTAAAGTATTGTGTTCATCTGCGAACGAGCTCCAGGAAAACTCAACTGCTTGTTCTAGAGAAGACTATATTCAACAAATATTGACTATGTTGTTACAGGCCTGATGTTGTTAGAGATTCATCGCGTTTAGATTTGACCTTTGTGGCCTTTTGTCTTTTGTCTGTCATTCGTAAAAAATAGCTAAAACAATGTAACTACTCCTTCGACCAATCAGCGCTTCTGACCGGATTCCGGACATATTTTACGTCATCAGTATGGAATTTCTGTCGCTGAGTCGCAGACGTTCCCCCGCGCGAAACGTCCCCAGCGGTGACGAGCGTGGAGAAACGGGTGTTTTCGCAGGTTACCTGACTTTCCAAGACCAATAATTAAATTCCATTACTTTCCAGGCCAGAAAAATTAAATGTTTAAATTCCATGACTTTCCAGGTTTTCCATGACCTGTACAAGTCAAGACTACTGGAACACCAGGGCTGCTTGAGTTATTTCTTCATTTTTCTCAAAGTCTGCGTTTGTACAGTGTACCATTTCAGTGAGCAATTTCACACACCTCTTTTGAGGTGTGACGGTATAAACTTTTATAACGATTTATAGATGCATACAATCAAATAAATGCCAGATCAACTAGTTGTTAAGTCAAACTTTAATTCAGAAGAATCAGTAAAAGAGCTATTTACATCAACAGCGATGCATTTAATAATAAATTGAAACGCTCTTTTTTAACAAGTGTTAACATTAAATTTCACATTTTCATAGTTTCTGGAAGAGCGATACAAGTCTAAGGGCCTGTTTACATGGAGTGGGGGTCCCCGGTCTAGTGGGGTTGGTTTCTTTCGTTTTCACAATCTGGGGGACACAAAACAAAAGAAACCTACCCCACTAGACCGGGGTCCCCCACTCCATGTAAACAGGGTCTAAGTCGAAAACACCCTCTCTTAATATAATGGGTGAATATATATCTTTTGACCTAGGGGAAAAGCTAAATAATTCTATTTACATGCTAAACAATTAATGTAATATTTTCTTCAATAGCTATTTGTGGGTCAAATGTTATCCACTCCTAGTACTGTACAACTGAAAGACAGTAGGGAATGGTGAACGGTGTCAAATTATTGATTCATAAGTATGAATTGACATAGTACGACAATTTGATGTTTGCTGTCAAAGCGCTGACCGGACGGAAGGCAAAAAATCTGGAGGCGAAGATTCAAACATCTAACAAATAGCATCATTTTCTGAATATGGCTGTTTCAAACTCATCAGTTAATTAATTACTTTTTACAGTTCCAGTGGGAACTTAAATAAATGCCGTAAACTATCGCGTACGGGCACCAAGATCAAACCAAAGTAACCGTAATAATCATTAAACGTCTGCAGGATATTCTCACTCGCACTACAACTGACTTAAAAATTGTAGGAAGGAACAAAGATTACTAGTGGAGTCTCTACAATCATCTATTTACATCCAGCAACAAATCATGTGAACGTAGAAAAAAACCTAACTAAGTCTTGCATAAATTTAACAATAAATAATCTACTGATGCAGGAATATTGAGTATAAAAGTTTACCCATAGGGCCAATAAGTAAAATGAGAAAATCTCCATGTAAGTCAAGCCTAATTGTGAGTACTTTACAGCACAATATTCACAAAGGGGGAACTTCAATATGGCTAGAATGCAAGGGATCCCTGAAGAAGTTAGGAGAATAGTAAAATATTCATAGCATTTACACTGTTTCATAATTATTCCTTTTTGCCCTTCTGATTCTCACTTTCAGGTAGCATGTGCTTTTGAATCATTTTGCGAGCATAATTCACCCGGGTATACAACTTTATGGAGCAGCCATGTTTTTCAATGTTCTTTAGTGGGAATGTCCTGAGTCTTTTATCTTCATCAATGAAGGTCACAGCTCCCAGCAAAGGACATACTATTATCTTGGTATGGCACTGAAAAAAGTTAAGCTGTGAAAGAATAAAAAAGAGCAAGGCAATGTTAAATGTTTGAACACTCAAAACTCGAAAATGGAATGCAAGGTCAAACGAAGAACTGTTCATTGATTTAACTCTTTCAATCTATACATACCCCTTCAGGGTTTATTCTAGAAATTGGCCAGTGAGGGTCAAATGGACCCCCTTCTTTAGTTTTAGGGGGCCGTTTTTCAAGAAATGGGGTCCCCCAAAAGGTATTTGGTATTTAAAAAGGTACGGTAAAGGTATTTTGGTATTTGCCCCCGCAGGGATTTCGCCCAGAAGGCAAAATCCCGAGGAGGCACTCTAGTAACTCGCGCGTATATTAAGGAAAGTACTTACAGTTGAAATATACAGTCATACAGTCGATATGGAAAAAATCTCGATTTGCTTGAACAGGGGCCGCGAGGAATTGGTAGGTAATGATGACGTTTCTATTGTTTACGCCCGCAAGTACGAAATGGTTAGGATGACGTCAAGACAGAACATCCCCAAGGGACCGCTTAGGTAGATTTTGTGACATTTATTGTGCAGTCGTACTTCGACACTCTTTTGCGTCACATGTTATCAGTGACATTCTGTGGAGCAGTTGTTTCAGTGGAAGTTATGGACCAAAATTTTAACGACACTCGTTAAGCGCAGAAGAAGTTATAAGGTGCGTATAACTGTGTATATATAAACACTTGGAGAGTTTGCCAGACACGAGTTCACAAATCTTTCATTGGAAACCTTGCCAGACACTCTTTCTCTCTCTTTGACCGGAATAAGACTCAGCCCCAAACAAGCAAGACGAGTGAACAACGGCTAGCTTCTCACTAGCAGAACGATGGACGATTACAGAAATTCGCCGACAATCAAATTCTGTGCTGACTTATTCCCTGCTCACAGATGTCCTTCCGCTATAAAGTTTAAAATAAGACTAGAATGCGCGAGTGTGAATTGATCAAACGTCCTTTTAATTTCTAAGGCTTCCTTTCCGGCAAATAAAATGAACTGAATGTAAAAATAGAAAGAGAAATAGCGAAAAATTCAACTTCTAATTAAATAGTTTCTTATGGTTTAGAATAAACTATTCTCGAAACTGAGAATGTTTTGATCAAAGCTTTGTAAATCGACCTGAAACTGTGCATGGAAACTTGCGTTTCCTGTTTTTATCTCACCTATTGTATGGAATATGTGTGAAAATCTTCCTTATGAATCGGTATATTTCAAAGAGCTACACAACGAGCAAGAATGCCATTGACCGACAATATACAGAGCGGAGGCAGCTGTAGTGTCAACTATTACTAGTTAACTTATTAGTACAGACTGTTCCATGAGAAAACGAACGTTTATTAACGCTTTGCCGCCATTTTGGAACATTCTGGGCCTTTGTCTGGTGAAATAATGACTCGAACGAAGAAGAGAAAGGCAATTGAGACAGTAAGAGGCTATAAAAGTTAAAAGTAAGATAAAAGAGCGGCCGTCAAATAAGTGCTGTTGTCTGATGTTTTCGAATGCTTTATTCTAAAAAAAATAGTACTCATCCTTGGGTCTATTTTTTTTTTGCGCCCCATTTGACGCGGCAAAATAAATTTTATGCGGCATTTTTCTCCAAATTGCGGAAATTCCGCAAGGCCGCGCTCAAGAATAAACCCTTGCGCTTACTGGGCGGTGAAGGACTTTCATAGTTAATCGGGGCCCAATTACAGCAAAACAATTCTTGATTCCTCAAGTTTGAAACGAGAATGAAACTGGAGCCGAAATGTGTCCTGCAATATTGGTTCTATGTGTAAAACAAGAGTTCTGCACGTGCAAACATTTCTTTGATGTCCACTAAACAACTTCGGGGTGGAACCTCCTAATATGAAGTTTTGACAAGCAAGCCTGAGGCCCAGGGCAAACGGACGCAACCTTGTTGGCCAAAAACTCCCTACATTCAGAACATTCATGGATATTACATATTGCGTCCGTTTGCACACCCTGTTGCATGTTGTTGTGCAACGTTTGAAAGCGGTCAAACGTTTTATACGGCCAACAATGTCGGGAGTTGTTGCGTCCGTTTGTTCGTAGCTTCGGGCGGACGGTACGCACATTCTACCCCCATCCCCCCGCCCGGATGAGCAGGAGAACTTGGGACTAAATTTTGGTGTACCTTATAATCAATGAAAACAAGTCACAATTCCTTACCTGAAGAGTGCCATTATTAAGATGGAGTATAATGGCATGTTTTGTGCGGAACCACTTTTTCAAGAAAGGTAATCGGGCAGATTCATCCTCTCTTGCAGTTTTAGCACCTGCACCAGCCTATGAAATCAAACATTAAGATAACTTTTGATTGCTGTTCAAGTTAAGAACATTTCGCACGCAACTAAGAAAAACACTTTGCACCCAGGACAAAAACAATATCAGTGTTCATTTTTTTCATTGAAGTTTTTCAGTGTCCTGTACATGGGTTTTGGCTGTCAATTAATGTGCCAAGTTTGAAGAAAATCTGGATATAGTACATCCTTTTCAAGGCAATTATCTTGTAGCCTGCGAAAACATCCGTTTCTCGTCGCTCTTCGTCGCCGGGGACGTTTCCTCCTCGCGAAACGTCCCAAGCGGCGAAGAGCGAGGAGAAACGAAAGTTTTCGCAGGCTAATTATCTTGAAATAGTCTCTGGAAAAGATTCTTAGCGTATATGATTTCTTCTTAGATCAGGAAGTGCACAAGCTGATTTAAATTTACGCAAACGAACAAGAAAATAAATAGGGAATGTTATTGAGTCAAAACGTTCATCGCATACCTTCAGAAGGTGATCATTCATGTAGCTGAGGAAGTATTTAAGAAGGGTTACTTTCTTTTCAAGTTGGCTGGGGTATCCTTTGAGCGTGTGAAAGTACTCTGTTCCATCAGCTTCTATGTATTGTAGATTTCTGCAAAAAGGGAGAAACAAATACTACTAATTAATTAAACTCAAAGGCATAGATACCTGCGCGCTAGTATTAGGGTTTTGTACATTATGCAAGCATTTTGTTCAAGCATTTTGGTGAGGTAAAAGCATTAAGCATTATTCGAAAATTTTAGTGGAATTTTTTCAAGAAACATTTTTTAGAGAATGAAAATCAAAGAAATTTGTAAATCAAAATTCCAAATTCCCAACAAAACATGCAAAACATGGTCCTACATCCAATAGAGATGATTAACCCATCACTGTTACATTAAGAAAAAAAAGTCCAATCACCTGAAAATAAAAAGGGATTTGGAAGACATGATAGGGTTGATTTGGACAATCGTGTCAAGCAATGGGAAATTCCCAGCTAAGCTCCTGTCAATGCAATGGTAACTGTTCATAAAAAAAATCTAAAGGGTTTTAGCTTACGAAAATTTGAATGGTGTCAGTGATAACCTGTGATCAGGCGGTCTTTCTCTCTTCACACTCCGTGAAATTATGAACACTCCATCACTAGATCGCAAGTGATGGTAGCCTGTTCCAGGCTCCGAGATGGTGGTGGAAAGTCGTTCAGTAATAAGAAATGAGAAAAACGCGCGTTTTTTCCCGCCGCCACCGCCCCCTTTCCCAAGTCGTGCGCGTCTTATTTTCGCTTTGCTCGTTTTAATACGTTCCCACTGTACTATCTGAGAGCCTGGCACAGGCTAAAGTGATGGTCATCACTAGATCGCAAGTGATGGTCCTTCTTTTCTTTGAGCCATGAGGGGTGTGCAAAAAGTAAAATTATGCAAATCTATAGTAAAAAAGAGGAGAGATCGGGGCAGAGAGAGGAAAAGAAAAACATTCCTCTCACTCCTCACACATGCTCTCAATCTATCGTGATTCAAAAGAAAGATAAGACACTGCTCGCAGTCTACTTGATCACAATAACCTCAGAGAAGGGAACAGCATGTCGAATACTTACACTTCATCCTGGTAAAGAATAAGTCTTGTTTGGTCGTTGAAAAGAACACCCACACTGTTATCACTTAGTTGGTAACCAAATCCGTACTTGTCTGAATAATCCACCCATTTACTAACCCAGTACACTGGAACAGAAGCCGGGTCCTCTGCCTCATCTATTGAGGAAATAAGATTATAGTATTCATTAGCCTTCAACCATGCTACAGTTACAGACAAACTCAGTTTTGAAGCTTTTTGCCCCAAAGAAAAGCTGTAGATAGCACGTACTGCCCAAAGGGTCATTTTAACTAGCTTGAAATATTATTTTTGACAGGCAGGATTATATTCTACTTATTAACCAAGAGTGAGGTCATGTAGGGAAATCTCAGACCGAGGCCTTGGAAGAGAGGTCAATGCATCAAGGCCAAAGTCTGAGATTTCGCTAGGTGTAATGACTGTATGGACGAGGTTAATAAGTTACTTATTATATGGCCTAATAAACACTATTCAATAAAAAACACAGGCAGTAATTTTCAAGATCCAGGCATACAAGGTCATTCAAGCTCGTTTTCACTGAACCGAAACGATCCTGGCAATGCTATCAAAACCACAAGACATAGTATCTTTGACCATGAGAAATTTTGGACCTGAGCCCACTATCAATCAAAAACCAATAACTCGTCAGTGGATAACTATAAAAAAAATGTCACCTCAATGAGTTGTACACTTGAGCCCACAATACAGTCATGTGACACTGGTCAGAGGATAGACTTTTTTGACAGCTGACAATTGACCATAATATGGATGTCCACTATCAAGTTTTATGTTTAAAAACACAGATTATATATGCCTTGGACACCTAGCTAGTAATGCCCGGTCATTACAAGAAAATCTTAGCTTAGTTGCCAATCAGAGCAAGGGTACAGTACTATTGTAGCCATGTAATAATAATGAATTAATGATTTTTTATTAAGTATTTACACATTTAGTTAAGTAATTGGTTTATTAATATTATTCATTGTTAGTAAAATAAGTGTAATAATTTTACTTTGTTAGATCAGCTTGGAGAACACCTTTCAATCCACATGAATTAGAAATTTAAACATTTTGTTTACAGTACTCCTGTAATTGAATTCCCCCCAAAGCTTTTCTTGTCCATACTAGGGCAAGTTTAAAACAGAATTCACTAGCCCGATCGCATAATCCAATAGCGCCAGGATACAGGATGAACACAACTTTCTTTACATGCTTTTTTCGACATTGTAAAGGAAACAGTTTTGCTATTAAGTGGTGAGAACATTGGACTAGCAATAATGATTAAAGTTGACAAATTTTAGTTCAATAGAAGTTTATCATAAATAGAATGGTTTAAGTACTTAAATTTACCTTCATTAAAATTAGCTCTGACGGGATTGGATTGCAAGCATGAAACAACCTGGCTGAGCAGCTGCGAGATATAACAGTCTTTAGGGATATCTGTATAATGAGAGACAATCAAACACCACTTAGTCACCCACAAACCAGGGTCTTAACAAGGATCATCTTCCATGCAAGGTTTTGAAGTTCTTGTGCTCCTCATGATGAGGAAAAAAGGCATCATTAGGAAAAACAATGTACATCAAACTGATCCTCACAGCATAAATAAGTAAAAAAAGTAACATATATGTATATAGTACATTAATATGATTGTCAATTCAACAAACAGAATTGTTAATGGAAACATACCAGGGTTCGCAAATACGCCAAATTTGGTGTATTTTACGCCAAAATTGTTCACATGACTCCACTGAGGTTATGGAGGGAGTCACTTCGACTCCAGAAATTTTCGGTAACAAACATAGTTTTGTCCTTACCTTTTTCGCAACAAATACAATTTACGTTAATTGTAAACGTTGTAAACCTTAATTAAATCATCGAAATTAAAGAATTATACTGCACGGCAAAACAGGAAGGGGGTAAATTACGATCAAAGTTTACTCGATGACCGCCATCATAGATTTGAGCTTTCCAGGTCAGCGGACCGCCACAGCTATTTCGTGTATCCCTCACGATAGTTTATACACACCCGGACCACATGCTGGAAAGTCTGAATTTGGCTTTTTTCGTTGTGATACTTGACTCCAAATATTCCAAAATGACTCCGAAATTTGTGAAGCAGAAGTCACTCTGACTCCACTCATCAATAAAATTTGCAAACCCTGAAACATACACTTCATCAGCAAGACTTTGAACTTTCCAGCATGTTGTTTTAAGTAAGGGCTCTATATATGATCTGTTGCTCAGTTGTATCTCACATAAAGATGTACAACATTTTGAACACAAACTCAACAAACACAGAGCTCTGTCAATGAAAAGTGTACCTCAAATTTTCCAACCTACCTTCCTGATCTTCGTCTTTCAACTCTTCAGCAACAGCTTCTCCTGGTTGAATGAGTTTGCTTTCTCCCCCGCAGACTCTTACACCAAGGGATCTCCTTTTGCTGACCTTCTCCAAAAAGGCTACCTTGTCTTTTCTGCCAGTGGTAGCAGTTTGTTGTTCTTGAGTGTTCAGTTCATTAAGCGGCTTCCGAGAAGATGCACCAACCCCAAGCAGATGCGCTGATGAACCAGTCGCAAACCTGGGTGCCATTGTCAGACAGCTGATTGGCAAATGATTGGGTGTGAAGCCTGTAAAGAACTCATCTTCAAGAACTTGCCGTAGGTTGGGTCTGGTCGCGGGATCTGGTCTCAAGAGTTTAATGATTAACAGTTGGGCAGTGTGGGAAACTTTTGACGGAATGTAATATTCATTTCTCTTTATTCGTTGGTACGTTTCTTTCAAACTCTGAGTTTCAAAAGGTGGCTTGCCAACAAGAAGAGTATACCTGCAACCAAGGTATGCATCAACTAAGATATCGTCATAACAAAGTCTACTAGGTATTTTCTGTGCAAGAAAACTAAACATATCTGTGTAAATCATTCTTTGAATAAAGGATTTGATGTTTTAGCTCATGTCCATGTGCTCAAAATAATAGTGAGAGGTGTTTGCGCACCCTTCTAGCCTGAGAAAACAGTCAACATCTCGCGATGCCACCAGTAGTTTCCCTGCAAAATGACATCTGCGAAATGAGCACAGAAACCCCATACTGATGATGTCTCAGTACCTAGATCTGGGTAGTGCTTCTGATTGGTTGAAGCAAATTTCCTTTGCTGCACGACCAATACGAAGCACTACCAGGCTGAACTAGGTAGTGACAAGTCATCAACATGGAAAATCTACGCTCAGACTGAATCATTTCTCAGATGTCATATCCTGGGGGAATCAGTGGTGGCATGGCAAAATGTCAGTCATTTTCTCAGACTCTAAGTACTCCATTCCTAGGTACAGTTTTTGATTATGACTTGCACTTATGGTTTTCCCGACTTCATATGTCTCAGTTACTTACAAGATGCATCCTAGTGACCAGACATCTACTTCAAAGCTGTGTCCTTTCTTGTTAAGCACTTCAGGAGCAATATAGTTAGGAGTTCCACAAAGAGTCCTGGAAAATTACAAAACCATTTTCTCAAAAAAGTTCGTATTAATTATTGAAAACTGACATTACCATTAAAAATAGAGTTAACAGTTATATGCAAAATTACAACATTTTTAGTCTGAAAAGTAAAGGGATATTAATATTACTAATTGAACAACAAATAAAAGTATTTGTATCTAAGCCCTGAACCAAGACCTACTGTCTAATGATGGCCTGGTCTTGCTAAATGTTACTTCAATTTAAGTGCATAAGAACTGTTGAAAGTGTTTTGGCTCAGCACAGGCTGGAATAATGAAGTGGGCCATTACCTGCCAAAGTTGGGATGATATTAATTTTAAAAGCTTGAAGACTCTGTCATTTGAAGAAAATCCCTCAAAAACATTTCCATGGGTTAGCAGGTTAAAGAAATAAAGTAATGATTCACTTCTTACTTTTTCCTTTCACCATCAACCTCTACCTTAGTTGCCAGACCAAAATCACCAATTTTGACCTCCATTTCATCATTTAGGAATAAATTCCCAAGCTTGAGATCACGGTGAATGATCCTGTTGTCATGCAGATATTTACAGCCCTCTACAATTTGCTTCATAAAGTACCGTACTTCTGGTTCTGTCAGGGCCTTTCTGCGCTTATGAAGTTCCATCATGGACTGAAATGAAAACAGCAAATAAATAATTTCACAATATAATATTGGGCAGGCATAGTTGCCCCTGGTGCCCAACGTTGGATCTTGGATGACTAGAAAATCTTTTTTTATATATACAAATCATATGCTGGGCACCCTAGATTTTACCAGCACAGAGTACTGTTCTCCCTTCAATTTTCCTTAGCACACAGCCTTGAAAGTCCAAGTGACTTCAAATAAAAAAACTACATAATTCTTAGAAAACAAAGGGAGAATTTAATTTGTTGAAAGAAAAAAAGAGCCAGTCAGGGCATTTTTGTAGACACCTTCAGGTAAAAAGGCTCTGGCGCTATCGTGTATCAACATAAACAGCACATAACCAATAAATTACTTGATTTGGGTGCTGGAGAAACTATAATCGCACAAAAAAACCAAGACAGCAGATTTTCTGTGCTTTTATAGAGACCAATTTGTTACAAAAGAAAACCCACCCACATTTAAAACAATAAAAATAAATGTATCAAATACACAGCATGAGAATGAGTTGAACAGATTTTCATTTTTCTTTAATATTTTGGTACATGCACTAAAGAGTAGAATTTAATTACATTTGAATGTGCCGGGGAAGCCAAAGTTAAAATATATCATCTTTCCTTATTTCCATCATGGATAATAGAAAGTCTTTCTATTATCCATGTTTCCATTAACTGGTTTCTTGATTAGATTAAAGAAATTTTTCAAGTCTTGTTCCAGGATTACACTAACTTAAAGGGTAATATGTTAAATAATATCTGAAAAAGCCTGCTGCAATGTGTGACAAAACAAACAACATTTTCTTAACATAGTAAATTTCTAAAAGGAAAAGTAATACGTAAGAAAAATACATTTTGAAAATTAAGATACCAGGAAGGAAGAAATACAATAACAGTTTAATAATGCATTTGGTGATTCATCAAACAAATCTCATGTTTATTGAACATGCCCGATGAAAATGTAAATTTGAGATCAACTGAGCTTTCCCTGCATAAATTAAAATCATAATTGCTATCAACAGGTTGTCCCCAAAAACGGATCTTGAAACAAATCTTGCAGATACATTGAAGTGAAGGATGTGAACTAGACTACAACGAACCAAATATTTTGGTATTTATCATCACAAAAATCTAGAGAGTAAAATATCATTCTGTTTGAAATCATTATGATCATATTTCCTTTGTCATGCAGTTTTCATGCAATATTTATTTTTCAGATTCAATAGAGCATCAACAGGTGTCCAAAAAAACAAGGGTTCTTAAAAAATAAACTCCATGAGCAGTACTTTATCTTCCCAGTTAGTAGGTGATCAAAATTGAGGCGAAGCAAAAAACGGGGACCAGAAAATGTCTAATATATTAAGCAAATTCTAAAAAAGAAAGTTTAATCAAGAACAAAGGATGCAAACAGAACCTCTAATCTACGTGTTTGAGTTTTTAAAATTAACAACTTGTACTCTAAACCAACGACTAAAATCGAAAAATGGGGAAACCTTTCGCTAGGATCTAAAACAAGTAGGCAACATTTTTATTTCACTTGCTTTTTTAAATTTATAATTTTCTCAATTTCGCTCGACTAGAATTAATTTTTCAACAAAACTGAAGCAAAAAACGCCGAAAAGTAAAAAAAAAAAAAAAAGTGTAACTGAAATCCAGAATAAAGGTTGTTTAAAAACAGTATCAGAAGATCGAAAAAGATTCAGTAAAGAGAAAGAGACCTTAAAATGAAACAAAATATTTTAAAAAGTGGATTTCTCCTGTTTTCGCCACTTACCCTTCGTCTACAGAGCTCAAGAAGGATGTAAATGTAATCCGAGTCCTCGAAGAAACCATGAAACCCGACAATCTGTTTGTGCGTTTCTGATTGAACAGCTCTTTTCTGCCCCACGGAGCGATGGATGGCAATTTCCATAGACATCTACAAACATCCGAAGAAAAATTATAAAAAATTGAGGATCAAAATGATCTTCGATAGAATTTTCCGTTAGCGTTACTTCATTCTCACCTTTTCTTTTTGATGTGGCTTCGTTAACATAGTTTTCGAGATAATCTTGCCAGCGAAAATCTCTTTCGTTTCCATATCCGTAAGCTCGTAGCATTTTGCAAATCCACCCTGAAGAAAAAGAACGAATGATGAGCATATGAACTATCGATCAAAGATTCGTTTGCTCGTGTTCTGCAGGATTTAAATTTAAATGGCGGTTATGCATATGTTCAGATATGTTAGAGCGTACGCCACGGTACCTTGCCGAGAAAGCGGCCTCGAAGATAGCGCTTTTTTGTCGTGGGATCCACTATATACTGATCCAGCTCCCGTGGTATTTTCGCATAGTCTGATGCAGGTCTTTCTGTCTTATGCCTTGCGGTGTATTTATCCTTCGTCGCTGGTCTACCGGCATACATCTTTCTGTTGTAGCTCTGAGATGGCACTTGTACGATCAACGCACATATAAATCCGCTTGGATATGTAAGAGTATATTTTACCGATTCCGCTGTCTACGCACAAAGAAAGCAGCTAGAAATCAAAACGGAGAAATTTCTTGGAAACAGTGAAAATTATGGCCAAATATCTAGAAGAAATTTACAAAGCCAGTGGAGTGTTCGCGTGGAAGGAATGATCAGTTCGAAGAGGCTCGACAGTTTGGAAACTCATTCAAACAAACTGCGTCTGGAGCGCTGGCCAATCAGATTCCGCGATGGTAAAGCGCACGCATTATTTCGACCAATCAAATTGAAGAGTAACACAACAATGAAAGTTTTTCATGAATCGTGGCAACTCATGCGTCACACATAACAGGGTTTAAACTGAAACAATTCTTAATTCCGACCCCGTGGCTGTGATATAATGGGACGTCTATTCTTTTCTGCACTATTTCCCGTATGGGAGTTGCAATAAAATGCTGTTTATTGTTTGAGACTGAAAAGTTTAATTTTTGTTTGGAAATTTTTAAGCCAGCAGCTGTAGAAACAGACAAAATTAATGCATAATATTATAGAATACTTTATAAAAATTCGTAAACAAATTAAACGACCTATGTAGAAAATGAATTTTCTTTCGGTTTCGCCATGATTTCACTATACTATTTACAGACTTTTGTGAACTCAAAATATATATATTTTTTTTAACTTATCTAACATTATTCATTTTCTGGAGATGTAAATAACTACTTAGAAAAATACAATCATTTCGAATCAAAGCTTCCCTCTAAGACTTCTTTTTCTTGCTGTTTTTCAAAGGACTATTGGCTTTAAGAATGAAGCTATTAAATGGTAATTTGAGAGTTTATTAATTTTATTTAAACTCTCAACAAACATGCAGCTGAAAATTAACTGACCGAAAACTTGACTCAACACAGCAAAGCTTTAAGCACAAAAATTAGCAAACTTCCCTTCTTTTTTTGAAATTCCTTTTACAACATCAAGGTTGAAAGTTAGGGGTGCAAGTTATATATGAGTGCTGGAAGATTCTGCTAGTGCAGAAGATCTATATTATGAGGGCATCTGTAAGTTACAAATGTTGGCTTCTTTGAGCCGACCAAATAGAAGTGGCATAGAGTGGTCTTAATCCCTGAGCATTTTTTTAAGTGCTTATTGGTTGAGGGCAATGGGCTATGAATGTATAGACCATGCAAATGAAGTAATGATATCACAACTTACTTTTCTCTGTCGTCTTGATATATTTGTGAAAATTGAACCTAAATATGTTTCATGTTTCAAAATTTTAGGTTCAAGTCTGTATTTTGGAGAAAAATAATTTTCATCTGTATTTTTATCTAAACACATACAATACATCGATGCTGAGATTTCAATAACAAAGATGGCTACACAAAGAGAGGGTGGTCTGCCTGTGTCCATACCTATTATAGACCACAGAAATGATGTCAAGATGTTTAATTTAACTTTCAAGTGAAATCAATGACCATTCAGAATTTCAATTGAGTTTTGAATGTTTTGACATCATCTTAAGGGATCCATATTACGGTCATCAGGTCGTCCGAGATGACCATAATATCATTTGGACAAGTATTTAAAGAATCTTGTCCTATAGATGACTAACTTTTAAGAATTTATTTGGCATCCAAGACCTTGCTTTTGCCTTTGGTTTAGCTTTCCTTCTACCACAAAAGCTGAAGTGATTGGTGTTACACTCTGTGAAGTTTGTCAATTTTGTCTATGCATGTCTAGTAAGATGTTGGCTTCTCTCATAGAAGGGAGCAGGTATGTAAGGGTTTGCAGTGATAGAGTTTTGGTTATTGTTGGTGCAGTTTGTTCTGTGACAATTATTATAATTTTGCAGAGCACGTAGTTTTCAAATGCTATGTGGGATGTGTTTTTTTAAAGTTTTATGTCACCGCGTAATCGATGAAAAGCAGTGTTACGTTAATCTGCTTCCAGATGTTAAAAGGGGATCAGTAATCTTAATGCCAACAAATTAATGTAATAATTGTAAATCTCAATGCAGTATTGCAGTTTTTTCCCTCTTTTCTGTGTGATATTTTGGTGTTCAGACACCCAACCCCCCTCCCCTCTTATGCCCCCCTACTAGTGAAAACAAGCTTTAAGTTCAATTATGCAATTGCATCAATATGGTGACGTGGTTTAATTTTATTGATCCTTGGTTTAAATTTAATTTTCCATTATTTGCAACTCATTATCATACACAACAAACATAACCATAACCAAAAAACAAAAGCAAATAAAGTTTAAAAAAACGATTCAAAGGATACCATAAAATTGAACCACAACCACAGAGTCATTAAATAACATTATTTACATCTACATTAATCTGAGGTCGAGGGAGGAGTAGGAAAGAGGAGAGGATTTGGCCCAGAAAACAATCACCTTGATTGTTGAAAGCTACCCCCACAAGTGGTGGATAAATTTGACGTTGGCCAAGAGTAACCTCACCTGCATGCAGACAAGCTAGGGTAATGGTTGTGAATTTAGGCATCATTCTTCTCCTTTCTTGCATTCTTCTTTTTCGTTCTTTCAACAGGTTTGTCAGCTACCTACTGAGGGATAAAAATGTGGAAATTTTTTTATCTTTTATTTATAAATATCACTCGTAACATATTCCAAAAGTAACAGCGTCCCCTATATAGTGGATGTATATATAGAGGATATTACATGGTTGCGAGGAGATACAAAATTTCTCTTCACGTGTATGAAAAATATTTCACGACTGAGTGCAGTGAACGATTGAAATATTTTTTCAACACGAGAAGAGAAATTTCGTATCTCCAAGCAGCACGTAATGTTCTATTTAAACACCAATGAACTACCAAACCATTTCACTTTAACAGTTTTTTGGTGTGAAAGGCACGATTTATTACGTAGTCATGGCAACGGTAATATTTTCACATGTGAAGATATCAAGTTTTCGCTTGGAAGCTCACCTGGGATTTCATTGGTGTTTATATAATAAATGGCATTCTCACATGAAATATATGCCAACATACAGGTACACTAGCCCTTGCCCACAATGCCGAAAGAAAACAAAATTCAGCTGAACCTTGTTTCCACATTCCTTAATGCCATAAAAGGGTTCATACAAAAAATTGCAATTGTTTACATTTAACCACAGACCACGAGTTTGGACACAAGGAGTTTATTGCCAATGAAACGAAACTGAGATACAAGAACTAAAGGACAATACAACTCCAACACCTGAAGGGTGGGAGGGATAGGGTAACGAAATTAAGCTTGACCGCGTTACAAGAGATTATGACTGACTGATTCATAATGTACAATGCTTATATAATAGCTATGACGTAATAACACTTAACAATTAACCATCCTCACGAAGTGACGATTGACACAATTGTTTACATTTAACCACAGACCACGAGTTTGGACACAAGGAGTTTATTGTCAACAATTGATTAATTTTAGCAGCCATAGAATTAACCGCCCGGCGTTTCTGGGCTGGGGACATCTCTAAATAAACTAAATAAGCGTCACTGCTCCAATTGCCCTGAAACTTAATATGTTCTGCTGGAACATTGCATTCAAAAGCGAACGTGGCACCGCCTCGCCGAAAACTATGGGGCGAATAAGCTCGTGGATCTAAACCTAACGCTGCAACCACCCGTGCTAAAAAACTGGAAAAATGACGAAAAGTAAGAGGGCGCGTAATGTGATCGGCACTTGAAAAAACAGAAAAAAGTGGATCGGATGAACGAACTGCGTTGAGGCGAAGATGATGTTGAAGAGCGGCAACGGGACTATGGCTGCTAAAATTAATCAATTGTCTTCATCGTAATGTTAGTTTTAGTCACATAATTTCGTCGTTCTTTCCCTATATATGTCCCACGATTTCGTATTTTTCCTATCATCTTTCCTTTAACCACAGACCATCTTCTCGTTTGGGTTTGGGTGTTGGAGTTGTATTGTCCTTTAGTTCTTGTATCTCAGTTTCGTTTCATTGACAATAAACTCCTTGTGTCCAAACTCGTGGTCTGTGGTTAAATGTAAACAATTGTGTCAATCGTCACTTCGTGAGGGTGGTTAATTGTTAAGTGTTATTACGTCATAACGAAATTAAGCTTGACCACGTTACAAGAGATTATGACTGACTGATTCATAATGTACAATGCTTATATAATAGCTATGACGTAATAACACTTAACAATTAACCATCCTCACGAAGTGACGATTGACACAAAGGCCACTTGTTAAGGACTTTTCAAGGACCCATTGTCCACATTTGATTTTCAAGGACCACCTATGGCTACCAGGAATGTAATAAAGATTGTACGAAGGTGTACATTCCCAGTCCTCCAACACTTTCTCTACAATTTTCAGTTTCTAAATTGATAGTTAATTATTGCATAAAACACAAAACGCTTTATGCAAATCACCTATAACTTCTCTTAGCTATGAGTTATATTCCATCTTGGACAACCAAACAGCATATAAAAAATATTTTCGGCTCATACTCGGTGTAAAAACCTGTGAAACTCACGAGTGACGTAAAACGATTAATACAAAGAAGCCACTGAGAAGTCAATACAGCCAAGGAAAATGATAGCCAGAAAACAAAGACACACTCCACAGGTTTTTACACCGAGGTAAACCCATATTTTCCAGGCCACTTAACTACATTCAAAGTTAAAGAAAATTCAAGGACTTTTCAAGACTGTGCGAACCCTGCATCTGTTCTTTAAACGTACAGATCATTCTCTTACACTGCTCTTACCCCTTCCAACTTTTAACACTTACCATCGCATCCCCCTCCACCGATCCCGAAGGATCCCGAAGAAACCCCAAGGGAGCCCCAAGGGCTCCTCCTGACGGTGAGCCTGCCATTTATCAGCCCAGCGTTAAATTTCAATTACGCAATTTCGTTATTTATGTTCCACTATAGTGACTCAACATGGCTGCCAACTTGCCTAAATTTGTTGCAAAAACAATTTCTCTTCTAAATTTAGAAAGGAAAGCTGAAATAGAAGAGACAAGGTCTCTCCAAGAAAATATTAGTCCGAAGGAACTTCAGAAGAGAGGAGTTTGCTTGCTAAAGCTTCGTATTAGAGGCCGAAAAACTGGATTGTATGGAAGATGTCTTTTGACTTTTGAACTAAACAAGCCAGGTTCTGACGGAAAACTTCCTTCACATTCCTTTACTCCAGGTAGTCTTCTTATGATTTTCAAGATAATGAGAAATTTGACTATATAAATAATACCCTTGCACTTTATTACTGAAACTAGAAAAAAGTGTATACATAGTTTAAATATTATGGCAACTACACAATCTCTTCCTCAAGCGAATTCCCTCCAACATTTGTGCACATCAAAGAAATAAAGCATTTGATGTGTATTTTATAGGGGATATAGTTGGGCTTGGTTGGTTAAGTGGAGATATCAAAGACATTGCCTCTGGAATTGTCAGCCGTGTCACAGAAACAGCTGTCACAGTGGCATTTGAAGAAACAGCTGACAGCTTGACATTTGATGATGATGGGCCATTTAAACTAGTAAAACTTGCAAATGATGTTACTCATAAAAGGATCAAAAGGTTTGTTATTATGGGAATTAACATTTTCTATGCACATACCATCAATTTCATTTTCAGTAAATGCATACCTGCCAACTCTCACACTTTAGGCAGGGGTCTTATGTGTGTAGATCAAAACCTTCGATCTCATGCCAATTCATTCCAAGAGACTAATTTCTCCTCCTTGGGAGAAAAATGAGCTATTGCAGGCTTAACTTGTGATTTTTTAAAAATATGCAAGGAAAAACAATCAGAACCAACGCAAAAAAGAAGAGTCCATGCGAACAATCATACTCTCCCTGAAATCTCCAATTTTATTAGGAAAGTACTGAAACTGAGAAATTCAGAAAACCTCAGAACATCTTTGGATATGATTGGGTTCTCTACGTAAATTTCTGGCACTCTCAGTATAAAAATGGCATGCCTTTGACTCCAAAAATGTTGGCAGGTATATAAAACAATAGGTTGAACCAACCTCTAAGTCCTATCATAAGTTAATGGAATATGCTTTTCCAGGTGACCCTAGTCCTGAATAGGGCTATTGTTGACAGTGATTGACTTTTCAACAACCTGCATAGTTGGTTGTCTTTGTTACACTTTGTTACTATTACATGCATTTGTATGAAGGGTCCAAATTTAGCTGAGTCGTTAATGCCTAACAACTAGACTGAGTTAGAACTTTTTTACAAATGGGTCAAGTTGCACCTTTATTATTATATAAGTTTTTAATAATTATTTTTGTGTCGGCCATTTCTGTAGTGCTCTTGATGCTTTGACGAAATACAGAGAAGGTCCTGCTGCTTGTTTGATTGATGTTCTGTTTGGGAATCTGTCTCCAGGCCCTCCATTACAAATTCGGCCTTTTAACGAAGAGTCACCATGTTCGTTATTTAATCCTGATCTTGATGAGTCACAGAAACAAGCGGTAAAGTTTGCATTGTGTCAGAGGGAGGTAGCTATAGTGCATGGACCACCAGGCACTGGTAAAACTACAACTGTGGTGGAAATAATCATGCAAGCTGTCAAAAAACTTAACATGAAGGTGAGGTTACTTACGTTTAAACATCAAACTTTTGATGTACCAAACATAATCCCCATTTAAAAATTCTTGAAATTGGTAAACCAGCTTTCCAGACATGGAAAAAGTCTTGATAATGACAATAAGTGTAGATTTTTTTTGGAAAAAAAAAAACAACAACAAGTGCCAAGTGTTTAATGGTTAAGTATCAGTATTATTTTATTCCCTTAGTTATATCTAATTTAATCTCATCTGTAGCCAAAACTTTCAATCACAGAATAATAAGTTTCAGAACTATCTTTTGTCTACATTCAAGGCTGCTGCCTAAGAAAATTTTATGGGAGCCCTTTGGGCTCCAAAAATAAAAAGTAGGGAGCCCGAGCCGCATTTCTAGTAGCCCATCAATCAATAACCTTAAATAAGTAAGCAGGTGCTTGAAACTTGATTTATGCATCTCGAAACTCGATTTGTTTGAGTCTCGAATTTCCAGAAAAGTGCATGTTTGTTTACTTTTATCAGCAGAAATTTATTTGCCTAGTGTAGACAAACACACATTTTACGTTTCCATTTCAAAAGGGCAAAATGAGCAGGGAATTCTGTCGTTCGTTCATTGGAAGTAGGCGTGCAGGCTATTGCCATAAGAATCATAAATTGAGGCATCCGTGCAGACTCCTTGTTTAAAAGTGTAGTCGCCTGTGAGCAAATCATAGCAGTATCTGGCGACCGGACACCCGTTAGGCAGCAGCCTTGACATTGCACTGTGGTTCCTGACTGACTGTTTGCAGTGCATTATGGAAAATTTTGGTTCCCATGATTGTACAGGTTTCAATTGATCAATTAGTTGATAACGTTGAGTCTGGATTATTGTACTAGTTTTGCAAAAAGGCTGGAAAAAAGTCTTGAATTTTGCTTCCAGAAATCCTTACAAACCCTCATGCTATAAAAGTCAACAACCTTCTTGAACCACACCAGTTTTCAAGGCAATGAAAATGCATCTTTTTGTTGATTTTTTAGGTTCTTGCTTGTGCACCCTCCAATGTTGCTGTTGATAACTTAGTTGAGAAGCTAGTGAAAGGCAAAGTCAAGGTAAAGCTTAATTAATTTGCTGTTGCTTGTTCAAGTAACCTCAGTTATTAATATACAGCAAACTCAGGGCTGTGCTCTCCCTTTTGGGTGACGAGGAAAATTCTTAGCTTTTTCATAGAAATCCTATGCTGGACACTCTGGATTTCACCAGTTCAGAGCACTGAGCTCCACTTTGAAACAGGACACTTGGTGACATGTTCACCAGTACAGTAGATACCAAGGTCAACCCAAACTCCCCACTAACACAAACTAATAAAATTTATTACTTTTCCATTAAGTCAAATTTTAGTTAATTCTGACCCACTAATTTAAACTGCCTTCTCTAAAATAAGATCTAGGTGACTCAATCTAGTAGGGCATACCGTAAACTTGCGATTATAGCACCCCTTCCCCCCTTCCCCTATTTATAGGCCCATCTATGCATAAACAACTGGTTATTAGCCCACCTGTAGCATGCATTGAAATGAATTTGACTTTTTATGTCGATTTGAAGCTTAAAGAAGCGATCAAATTCAAAAAGTACTTTGATCAGCACTGTTAAGTAGCTTGTTTTGAGACACTTTTTTAGTCTGGTTATAACCCCGCCCCCTTTAATAAGCACTGCTAAAACCCCTTACAAAGTTGTGTAAGCCTAGGTCTCATAATCGGAAGTTTCAGTATTACTGTGCAGTCTTCTTCTTTGGTAGCCCCAGCAGTGTCAAGCCTCTGGGGGCAGTTAGAAGTCAACTTACATACACCAACTTTGGCATGACACTAGCGAGTATGCTGCTCCTGGCAGGTCACTGTTTTTTGTTCCCAAGGAGACTTAACCTGATGATGTTGATGATGAAGTCAAAATCCCCCCAATCCCTTATCTCAAATTGTTTTTGTTTCCCTTTAGAGACAATGTTATGTTTTTGACTATTATTATTTCAAAAATTGAATTTTATGTAGGTTGTGAGACTTGGTCACCCTGCTCGTCTGCTCAGTGCCGTTCAAGAGCATTCCCTTGATGCACTGTTGTCTAATTCTGAGGGAACAGCCATTGTGAGAGATGTGAGAAAAGACATCGATGAAACACTGGTAGGGCTAAAGTATATTGTTTCTTTGGCTTTAAATCATGTTGATTGATTACTTGTAAAAAGGGATTGGCATGGTGAGATGAAAGTTAAAAGGATTACTTGCTCAAGGCAGTCATGCCAGTCTATCACATCCCTTACACTTATTACATGTACTTTATCTTGGAGAAAGCTACCTGCCTGTCAGTCAGCTTCAGGCACGGATCCATATCAGTTTCCACCATTTTATGGAAATTGGTCAGATTTTTCTTAAATATATTTTTAGTCAAAAACATTAAACTTTCCAAGTTGAAATCTGGAAAATGGTTTGGAGAGTCAGTAAATATCCAGTCTGAATGACTCAGAAACCCAGGAAAGGGGACTTTAGGGCATTCACTTCCAAAACATCTCCCCGGGGAGGATTCCCCCAGAGCTCCCTAGAAGTAGGAAGTCAGTCAGTATTTATTCTAGATCCACGTTTGACTTGTGCTTGAAACCTGCTTTCCTGATGGGTCCTTCCATCAGTGCCAGGCTACTGGACAGCACTTTTGTCGTGCCCTGGATTGAGCTTTGTATGATTGTCCTGTTTGAGTGGCTTTTCACACTCACCAACAGGTTGTATAACTGACATAGATATCACAAATAACACAAGAGAATTGCAGCAAGGCCAAACTTTAATAGAATAAAGAAGATTGCATTTGAATAAATTTATAGGATTTCTAGGATTTTAGGTGTAGCATATCCAGGAATTGGCTTTTCATCTACCACATCCCAGATCAAATTAAAATTTAAAGATGTTGGCTTTTAAGAAAAGGGAGAAATTGGTGTACGCAAAGAAAATCCTAAAACTAAAAAAACACTCAAACATGTAACCTAATAACAATGACCTTATCCTCTTTCAAATTCTTTTTCACTATTGGTCATATAGATAGGATCTGTCCCTTCTCTTTTTAGAGTTCTTTACTCTTTCAAGATGTATAATTACATTCTTCTCTTTGTCTCTACTTGATAATGCGGTAATGTTTATATAAGTAAGTAACAAGCATGTAATTTTATAAATTTCTCTTATTATAGCTGTACCTGAATTTGTGGCCTTTCTGTCCTTTGTTCATTAGATAAAGGTTAGAAAGACACGAAATCCCTCAGAGAAGAAACATCTGAAACAGGAAATAAAGACACTTCGAGAAGAGCTCAGACAAAGAGAAGACAAGGCCATCGCAGAAATTCTCACGAGAGCTGATGTTGTCTTAGCAACCAATACAAGTGCATCAGCAGATGGTCCCCTTAAACTTGTTAAAGCAGAACATTTTGATTTGGTTGTTATTGATGAGGCTGCACAGTCTTTGGAAGCTGGCTGCTGGATACCTTTACTGCGGGCCCCAAGGTACAAGTACCTTTTTGGCTACAATAAGACTGTGAGCACACATAAGTGACAAACACCAAAGCTGAGAAAAACAAGAGTGGAAGCCCAAACAAAGAAAAAATGTTTTCCTCTCTCTTCCCCAATCTCTCCTGCCTTTTATCATTAATATTATTACATTATAATATTATCATCATATTCATTTATCATTTTTTTATCATTTTTTCTCCTCGTGCGTGCCATGAGGAAATATGGACGACTGCTCGTGGTCTGGGTTACACTGGCATGCTTGTGAAAAAACCTTAGGGGCCCTTAACACAAGTGATTTTATGGCCCCACTTGTACTTTGCAGACGTCCTTTTAGCTCTTCTCAAAGACAACTATTAGAAATGCAATGCTGTATGATGTACATGCTGGAACTTTTTCTAATGTTGGGGGGGGGGGGGGGGGAGTGGAGAAGACCCACAAAGAATGAACCCCTCCCTTTAAAAAAATGTATAAGGGGAACCCCGAGGGTTTACCCGGGGGTTTTACGTGCGACACTGACACCCCCAAATATCTTTAAAACAAAAGCGAGAAGAGGGGGGGGGGGGGGGAGAGGCTGCAAATACACCTAAAGAATGACACCATCCCTTTAAACCATGTTTAAGAGGGATCCCCATAGGTTTCCCAGTGGTTATTACCGGCTAATCCTGAACCCCAATATACTTTCTAAAATGGCCTCTTTCGAGGTTCCAGATTCTCTCATCTTAACTGGAACCAGTGCCTTAAAAAAGAGGACACGGTAAAAAATAGTCTAATGACAGGGTCAAGGAAAATGTCTGCATCTTCTGTTAAGTCAAAAGAAATGGATGTTATCGACATTTGAGATAATTTAGCTGACTTTCGTTACCATATTGATTCTTTTTAACAGCATTTCCTGAATTCCGTGTCACAAAATCTCCAAATCCTGCATCCCTTTCATAATGACAATCCCGAGTACATGTATCACTCCCCTTTTCCTCCAAAATCGTGAATCGCAATCTTCTAATAAGACAAATCCTGCATCCCGAAGTATTGGGCACCCTCAATTGACTGAAAAACTTTTACTTTTGGAGGGGAGGAGGGGGGAGGGGCGTTTGTTCTCTTCTTCTGGTTTGTTTTTTGAGGGAAGGGGGCGGCTGTACGCGAAGGCTAGGTTTGACGTGAACCTTTGTTCTTGCCAGGTGTGTTCTTGCTGGAGATCACCTTCAATTACCGCCCACAATAATATCTGTAGAGGCAGCGAAACAAGGCCTGGAAGTCACTCTGATGGAAAGACTCACAAAGCTGCTGGGAGATTCTGCTGTACGTATGTTGACAACTCAATACAGGTGTGTAAAACAGGAAGGTACATATCATCAATTTGGATCATTATACGTGTCTGGGCAAATGCTGTTTAGTACTTTGGGGACCATCTCATTATCCTCAAGTGGAATCATTATGATGACGATGATGACATCATAGCCTTTTGTGTTTATCTCATGAATAAAATGCGCTGGATTATCATTATTATGGTGGTGGTGGAGAAGTGAACACGATAAAAATATGGTGGCAATGGAGAAGGGAAAACAATACAAATTTGGTGGTGATGGTGTTGGTGGTGGTGGAGGGAAAAATAGAAATGTGGTGGCGGTGGTGGACGAAGAAAAACAATGTAGAGAAGCAAAAAAGGGAGGAAGGAAAATGGAAAATTGGTTTTTTGGTGCTAGAAAGAGCTAGTTTGCTTTCATCTTCATTAATATGCTCAATTTGCATGCCAAGAATCAGTGAACCGGAACTTTATCAATTGTCGAACAATGAAAGTAGTTTGTAGTCATCCAATCGCGAACCAAGACATTCATCGACCTTAAAATAACTAGAAAACCTGTCAAACCATATAAATAATAGTACAGTCGACTCCCGGTAACTCGAACCCTCTGTAACTCGAACCTCCCGCTAACTCGAAGCAATTTTCATTTCTCTTCAGAACATTTTCTATATAATTTTACCCTCGATAACTCGATCTCCCGATAACTCGAACTTTTTTCTGTTTCCCTTGAAGGTTCGAATTATTCGGAGTCGACAGTAGAACATGATAAAGGGGTTAAAACCAGTCAAAGCTAGATGAGTCTATTGTATAAAAATAAGGCAATACAAAAAGGGAAGATAGTGAGAATCCGCCGCATTTTATTCATGAGATAACAAAAAACGGCTACGGCATCATTGGTGTTATAAAACTAACGAGATTCCGCTTCCAAAAAAGGCCTAACCGGTCCGTACTATACTGGTCCAGTGCACATACCCAGTGGCCTGTAATGTAAGTAACCCCTCCCCCCTTGGCCTAATCGGTCCCTACTATACTACTCCAGCAGCACATACCCAGTGGCCTGTAATGTAAGTAACCCCTCCACCCCTCGACCTATCCGGTCCCTTCGAGGTCCCTTCTATACTACTCCAGCGGCGTATACCCAGAGGCCTCACCCTGCGTGTACTGTGTGTAACACCTTCCCCCTCGAGATAAGAGGGATTATAATTATAAGCTCCTACCACAGATAGCAGGGATATTAGCTGCTTAACCTCACATCTGTATCATATAACAACCTGAAAGGAGTTGTTCACATTGATATATTGAAGTCATTCTTTTGAAAACTCAACTGCCTTGCCTCTTCACTTAAACTACGACCCTCCTAAAATGATATTTCTTACTCAACGCAGAATGAATGCAGCGATTATGAACTGGTCATCAGAGAAACTCTACGAGGGTCGACTACAAGCGCACAGTTCGGTTGAATCTCATCTTTTAAAGGATCTTCCTGGAGTACAGGAAACGGACGTGACCTCACTTCCGCTGTTGTTAATTGACACCACCGGATGTGACGTCAGAGAGAAAGAGGTAGAAGACGAAGTCTCCAAAGGCAATGAAGGTGAAGTTGACATCGTCGCCGCGCATGTCATGTCGCTTATCGCCGCTGGTGTTAAGCCAAGTGATATAGCTGTTATCGCACCTTACAATCTTCAGGCAAGTATTATCACATTCATTCCGCGAGTTAAATGTGTTGTTATATTAATTTCGTTTTATGCAAAAATTCGATAATCTTTTAGAAACAGAGCAAAACATGACCGGTTTCGCACCTAAATTAATTTACAGAATGGTTAAAAACCCCTCTTTGCAGGTGATTTGGACCGTACATACGTTTTTTATTACCGTACATGAAGGCATTCCACCATTCCCTTCTGAGTTCTCCCTTTTATCCAACGCCAACTCATGCCTGGCGGCTGTCTGTAGTTAGGCGGGCGCTAACAGCTTCGTACCTGCTAAATACTATGCAAGAAAAAACGCTTTGTTAGCGGGATAGACCAGTGAAATTTGACTATGACTAGCTTAGATGTTGTTGTTTTTACTGAAGGCAAAAACCTTTTAAACATTATAAGGGCTCGAAATAAACTTGAATTCCAGCTTGAATTTCATCAGACTTTTTTCGAACCTACAATATTTTGAAAGGATATCGTCAACGAAATTTTACATCAATAAGGTTACGTACATAAAAAAAACTTTATGACAAATCGTATTGCGATTATATCCTATCTATGTTGTACAACACCTGTTATCAGCCACCTAACATGCAATACAAACAGCTTTCTTGTTTATTATGGTCAGATGTAGTTAAGTGCAGGAGTCAATTTATTAAACTATTAAATCTGTTACAAGTCTAATTTACAATTTTAAGTTACACTTGTAAAGTTTGTATGAAATTGACCCCAGGGTACAGTCCTTTCTTCCCTGCACCGGAGTAATCACCTGCAGTGTGTCTTTTGTCCAGGTTGAGTTGCTTCGGCTCCGCCTCTCGTCCCAGTACCCAACGCTTGAGATCAAGTCTGTTGACGGATTTCAAGGAAGAGAAAAAGAAGCTGTTGTGATTTCACTTGTGCGCTCAAACAGTAAAGGTAATGCACGTGCGTGCCGCATACAACAGGAGTTACAGCAGAAGAACATATCAGCTAAGACGTTTTTTAACGCGGGATAACTAAGCCTGGGACAAAATACTTACTTGAACGGGATTCGAATCCATGAACTTGCGATAATAGAGAGTTTAAGCTTCGCGTGTAAGGCAAACGGCAAACGTCAGATTCAAGTTGAGAATGTCTTAAAATAGAAAATAAGCAGATAAAAACTGCTCGAAACCTGAATTCTTATGGATGGGAATTTGCGTGAAACTACTAATTTATGTGTAGAAATAATGAACAGTAAACGGAAAGTAAATGAGAAACTTGGTCACGTGATACAAATTTGCGTTTGCCAATTGACGTCACGCGTAACACGTGACCAAACCCTAAGAAATAACGTCTGCGTGCAAGGATACTGGGATAATGGTGCAATACCATCTGGGAGTAAGACATCATGTCGTTTCAAATCCCCTTCAAGCCTGAATTTTTTCCCGGACTTACAGGCGAATCTTCGCTGACGTCATTGCTGCATATTTCCTCATTAGCTTACGACTTAACTCATAGAAGCCGTGACCGTGTACATATACACGAACTAAATTCAAAACTTGAAAGAGCATATTGACTTATCTTTGCAGGCAATATTAAAGGAAATATCAGCTATCAAAAGCTGCGAAATTGCTGGGTGGCAAAAAAGTCTACGAGCCATACATTGTTTCTAAAATTTCGAGTTTTTAAAAGAGAATTCCTCCGAAACGATTCGGTATTTAGGGCTCAAATTTCCAAAGATAACTGAAATTGTTCTGCTCTTTCAATATTCAGGGATTTCGTTTTATTAGCTTCATCAGATGATGATTAGCATTTGTTGATGAGGCACAAAGTGTAAACAAAGATTCGCCTGTTCGTGGGGATTTAAAGGGCGGCTTTAGCATGTTTTTGTTAAGAAGAGAGTCTCTCTTGTTACTACTAAACTCGTGTGCTCATACTGTAGAGGATGTTGGTACTGTTTGTTTGTTTGTTTTTTGTTTCGAATGCTTAAACTAATAACTAATTTTCCAGCTTTCTCTGTTTATTTTGAAAGGCGAAGTTGGTTTTCTAGCCGAACACAGACGAATTAACGTAGCCATTACTCGAGCTCGACGCCATCTTGCTGTTATTGCTGATTCTGAGACTGTAGATAACGACGACTTCTTGAAATCTTTAATGGAGTACATGGCCAGCCAAGGAGAGGTGCGATCTGCGCATGAATATATCCACGACTCTTTTCCAACAGTTGACGCTTCGTCTTGCCATTATGAACACCACGAGGTGTTTATAAAAGGAAAAAGTAAAGATTACAAGAACAAGAAAGAATTAAAAGCTAAGAATGGAAAGTCCAAAGATCGAGTCCCCTTGAACGCCTCAGTTAATTATGAAGCCGAGTCAGGCGTAGTGTGCAATGGAAATGCCGAGGAGCGCGATCAGTCTCTTTCATCTCATGCAAGCGTTACTTCAACCCAATCTTCACCTTCTGTAGAATTCAAGAGCAGTGACGATTACCGACAGCTTCCTGGACCATCGTCTTGTGATACTACCGTGACTGCGAAGTACAGTCGTGAAACTTTAGAGAAAGAAATTGTGAATTTTACGCAGGATAAGTCGAAAAATGAATTCTCGTTTCCCAAGACTTTAAACTCGCAACAGAGATTTGACGTGCACAGCATTGCAGAAGAGTTAGGGCTCGATCATGAAAGCATAGGAGAAGGAAAAGGGAGATACATTGTTGTAAGGAAACCGCCCAAGTCGGCTTCGAAAGGTGGGTTGACTTGTTGCATAATAAATGTTTTCTTTACCAACTGATGGGGATTGCTACTTTGGTATAATTTATTTATATCCAGCATTAGTATTTACCAAATCTGTGGATCGCGATTTTCGCACGTTTGGATTTGCTCCCGTAATTCGGAATATCCTTGGCTATTCACTGTTTTGGGACAGGAGTCAATATGGGGTCCTGTTTCACGAAAGTTTTAGAAGACCACTTTTTTGCAACTAATGAAGCATCTGTACCAAAAAATACCAAGATAGCGACGAAATTTGACTTGTTGATGCTTACCAGTAGGAAGACAATTATTTTCTCTCTAAATCTGCTACAAAATTAAACAATTAAAATTAAAACAATTAAAACCTTTTTACCAAAAGTATAGTTTCATTTTTTCCAACATATTTGGTAAACACGTAAACAACTATCCCCTCAGGGTCGGTGCATAGTACCAGATACAAACTTCGACACTTTGCGTATATCCATTACTATTCAGCTCTCTTTGGGCGGATAGTTTAATATTATTTGCAGAATTTACTTTTGTTATTTAGGGCAGTCTCTTAAACACATGAACCATCGCTACGCAGAGCAAACAATTTTCTACTCCTTGGGGTCAGATTTCCTTACATACAGAAAGAAAGGTGTTGGTAGATTTGGCATGATTTAAGTGACAAAACATGAATAAAATGAGCCCCCTCCACCTCCCGCCGCCTCACAATCCACACCCCACTTCGCAAAGTACCCCTCGAAAGAAGGTATTGGAGTCATCACCCAGGGGATATGTCCTGGATTGAGATTGCAAAAATTACAAATATTGCAGGAAATTACATACAATGGACGGATAAATACAAACAGTTTCATGGAGGACCCTCAACGATCCCCCAGTGGAATTACGAATGTCACATTCGTAACTGAACTTATTAGTTCTAAGTTCTTTAAGGGGTTGATTCATTGTTTAAGCGCAGTTTATTGAAAAAAATGTCTTAGGAACGTTTCTCTATTATCTTCTACTTTTGCATTTACAGACGAAAATGATGACAATGGTTTAGTCAGCACTTGTCCTTTGTGCAAGAAGCAAGTTCCAAGTTGTAACCTTCAGCTTCATTCGCTTCGCTGTGAGCAACAACTCAGGTCACAAGTCAGGGAGGCGAACGAAACAAAACATAAAGAACATTCCCCAGGAAGAAAAACCCCCAAACCGGTGAAAACCGGTGTAAAAACTAAACTTCCTCCTGCCAAACAACACGAGGAGGATCTTGACAAGCTGTTGGCTTCTTTTACGAAGCTAGACACGCAGTGCGCTTATGAAACTTGTAAACAGAGCATAAGAACGTTAGGACAGATGTGTAAATGTTGTGAAAGGATTTACTGTTTGTCTCATCATATTCCCGAGGTTCACGGTTGTGGTGAGGCAGCTAAAATTCGCGCCAAGCAACTTTCCAGCCATCCAAAGAGTGCTAAACCAAAAGCATCAGACGCCTCGCGCAGAGCGCAGTTGCATCGAAAGCTGGACAAAAGACTTGATGACATGTCGGAACAGAGAAGAGCAAAAAAGAAAGGAGGGGACGGCAAAAAGTAGATTGGTGTTTTACTCTCGGCCGATTGCTGAATCAAAATTCAAGAAAACAAATAGTCCTTTCTAATGTTAAACATGATGATAAAAAAGAAATAATTTCGTTGCTGTCAGTTTGTTTGGGTGATTTTTTTGGTTCGTATTTGTTATACAGCCGCGCGAAGTCAAACGAAATAAAGTTCGAGAAGGGGACGTGGGCAGAGAGAAAAATCCCTAACCCCTCTCCCATCGTTTTCTGGTTCGACCTCGATTCAGCTTTCGCGCGGCTCTATCTTTTACTTTAAGAAACACAAAAGAAAAAACAACCCTCCCCGCCCCCTTGGAAAAAAAAACCGCCAGCGACGCAGGCTAGATTAATTGACTGGGACTAGCAGTGACAAGTTTTCTGGCACCAATCAGAAGCCAGAACGGCGGCGACCGTTTGGAACTGGTCTGGTAAGACATTGTCGCCAGGGGCTCTTCTCGCCGTTCTTTAATTTTCTTTCGTGCCATATATATTTTCCCGCTTAGACTTTCCCTCGCCCCCTTTATCTGCCCCTGGGTCTCCGAGGATGTTTCGGAGTAAGAGTGACAAAGATCTCGCACTAACTTCGTCTAGGAGAGTATAGGTTAAGATAAGATCCTAGATTTTTCTGGGGACTTCAAAACTCAGTTGAAAATTATTAAATTCATTGGCCATGAAAAATCTCTTCCTAATTCTTAAAAAAGTCCCGGGTGAGTTTAAGGTCCTGTTTACACGGAGGTGGGGGACGCTAGGTAAGTGAGGTAACCCGCTTAGGTGAGGTAACCCGCCTGACCATACAATCTCTCATTTTAATTTGACCATGTTTACATGATAGGTGGGGTAAATTGCCGAGGCGGGTCGCCCAGTGTGCGAGACCGGGGAACCTTCTCAGCCGGGGTCAAGTTTTGCAAAGGTGGGGTAACCCGCCTAGCCGGGATTGGATTCATGTTACATCAAACTCGTGCGAAATGCTTTTGGCGGAGGCTTTTTTTAATTAAAAGACTTGACAGTGACAAGAATGCCCCTAGCCACAGCTGCACTGACAGATTGCAATAAGAGCAGCAAGTGAGCGTAGAAAAGCATTAACTGCCAAAACGTCGTTTGCCAGTCATTTTTTTTGTTTACATGCTTGGCGAATGTTTACTAACCTTGAGAAAGTGCACAACGGGATGACAGGGCTGTAAGATTGCACGTAAACGCGGGTTACTTTTTTTACCCCATCTGAGGGGGTTACATTACCTCGGGTCCCCCATTTCCGTGTAAACAGGCCCTAAATGTGGCATAGAGTGAGGTAGGAATTATTCAGGTTGGCTAATTAACTTACTCTTTTATTAGAAGCAGGCTGTTCAAGTTTTGGGTCCTGAAACGTACATTAGAGAGTTTTAGCTCACGTATAGGGCAAACGGCAAACGTCTGATAGAAGTTGAGAATTTCTCAGAACAGAAAATGAGCAGATAAAAATAGCTCAAAACGATTCTTATAGATAAAAAATTGCGTAAAACTTCTTATTTATGTGCAGAAATAATGAACAGTAAACGACAATTAATTGGTCTCGTGGTAAAAACTCGCGTTTGCCGTTTGACGTGTACGTGACGCTTAACTCTCTATTTTCATTTTTGTACCTCGGAATCGAAAATCCTGGACCGGAAATTCTCTCCGTGTAGTTCTAACTGGCTTCTTCCCTCGATCGGTTTAAAACAGCTTAACCAAGTCTTGTGTTGCATAATTTAAACATAGAGTCTCTTTTCTGAGTCTAAATGGCATCCTATGACCAAGAAACGTAAAGCGTACCTCCGCATCGGCCTCGGCCCCTGCCGGTTGGCACCCCTCAGGGGCGGCGGCTTTGGGGGCTAAGGGTGGCAACCGACAGGAGAGGCGCCGCAAGGGGTCTTCCCTTCTGCCTTTGTGTGTTTTGAGCTTTGTCGTGATCCTTCCCGTTTTTTCCATGACCCCTACAGTCAAAAATACCAGGAACGACCTGGGTATTAGGCATACCGCGCTCCACTACCTGAACGCCTTGAGGAACACTCTATGTTTTGCGCATTGATATATCCAGAAACTTCCTGCGCGATCAAACGTTCGATGCGTTTTTTAATTTGTGTTTTTTTGGTTTTATTACCACAATTGCGAGTACGGGGAACTTTTAGGCGCGCGAGAAAAGTGTGACTTTTCGCGCGCAGGCCGCCAAAATGTTTACTCGTGGGATACCACTCGAAAACATTGCATAACTTCTGAATAACTAGCATACATGTACATCATAGGACTCTTACAGGAAATATCAAGAAGACCTGCTTGAGCAAGTTCAGAGAAGAGCAGCTCGCTTCGATCAGACCGATCCATGACCAGTACTTATTCAACTGAATAGCTCAGTCTAAAAGTAGTTTATTTCTATTTTTCTTCATCCCATAATTGTGATTTGAGATAGGTCTCCTGACCTCGAGCTGTAACATCAGGCTGGGGATGATGCAACATTCAACACCAGACCCTTCTCTTGACCGGTCTCTCCAACCCTTCAAGTATATTCTGCACTAAGTATTATGAAACGCGTGAAAAAGCTCATTTTTTTCTCTAAATTAACCCGGTTAATACGGATAGTATGTCATGTCTCGTCAGTCTCATCGCCGCTGAGAGACGTTTCGCGAGGAGAAATTTCCCTTAGCGGCGATTACAAAGAGAAATGTCTGCCGTTCGCAGGCTACGTATTCACGGCGTTTCACTGTACAGCATATGTCCTAGAACGATCATTGACTTTAAAAAGATTCCCGTTGAGAAGATGACGTTGGATCTAGGTTGTTTCAAGTCGGCTCTGATGCGAACGGTCTCCACAAAACCGTTTATTTTGACCTCGTTTTTTCTTTCCTGGTTAGCTCTGTATCCAGTTATTTTATCATCATCATCATCATCATCATCATTTTTATTATTAATATTATTACTATTATTATTATTATTGAACCTCAATTATTTTAATTCCAACTGTTCTGATTAGGATTTTGCACAGCATGCAAATGTGGTTGTACTATTTACTATTGGTTGTATTGTATTTTTCAATTTCCGGTCGAGTTATTATTGCCATCCGAGAGAAGCCTGAACAAGTCCCCTCTACCCACCCCTAGTGTATACACGTGACAGTCTCTTGACAGAAGGAAAACATGGCGACATACGAACAAGAAGACACTGTTCGGGTTCGAACCCTCGTAAGCAGTTTAACAATGGATGTTCTTGAAAAACTTGGAATGAAGCTCAATCCAAGACATCCTATGAAAGATTTCAGGTATTTGGCAGGCAAAATGAACTATAACTACGAAATGGTAAGAAATTTCGCGCTACAGAGAAATCCCACAGTTGCTCTACTGCATGACTGGTTCATGTCCCATACGAAGAACGGTGAAGCCAAAACTGTGAGTCACTTGATTGAGCTGCTTAAAAATATGAAACGAGACGATGTTGTTGAAATTCTTCAACCCTTGGAATTTACAGGTAAATGTCTCGGTTGTCTTGAGTTTGTTTAGATGTTGTAAATTCTTTGTAATTGAATATGCCTAACGTTAGCTGTTTAATATTTATTGTGATTTGTGCGTGATCTCTTGAAAACTACAGTAGAACTTTCTGTCGTGGCATATTTTTCATTTTCTCTAGTTGCTTTGTCATTAATCTTTTGGTTAACTATTTCAGATTTGAAAAATGTGTGGTTAGTTGTCAGTCTCGGCGGAAACCAATGCGTGCAAATGCAAACAAAACGAATTACTAGGAAATTGTTTTCTTGCGTGTATCAAGCGGTGGAATGTGTAGTCTAAAGGGGATATTGATCACCGATAGGCCTAATATTTTGCACGCTTTCACAAATATTTGGAACAAATTTATAAAAGTACGCTTAACACTTAGACTTATTCGTTTTAATTAATGACAGAGTGTAAACTAGTGCGTGGGGCACTAAAACACCGAATCCGGAATTATGGAAACGGACACGGAAACGGAAACGGAATACGGAATCTATGAAAGAAGGTTCCAAGGGATCGATTTTGAAAAAAAGTATATTAGCAATGACAATAAAAATGAATGAATAAATTTAATACCCGGGAAGACTGCGGTATGACTAGAGGAGTCAATTTTGGTGAAAAGACTTGTCATACCCCTTCCGGCAGTGAACCATAGCATTGTGGAGTCCAAAGAGAAGAGAGAATTGTGCATGCATTTGCTTGATTCCGCAACTGATTACACAAAAAATAATGCACCATGTTTAAAAAGCCTCTTCAATGTAAAATATGCACACCGTTTCCATGATTCCATTTCCGGATTCCGGATTCCGTGCTTTAGTGCTGTCGAAACTAGTACAGTGTAACATGACTATAAAAAATCATGTCACTTCCAAAACATAGGCACGTTAAACGTGCATGAGCTATTTTGAATGCTTCAGTGTAACTTTACTGCTTCAGTGTAACCTTACCAAGAGTGATGAATCTACCTTTTTCGTCCTAAATGTAGACTGGCTTTTTGTGCGAAATTGAGTATTGCCGTACATAAACGAAAACGCGAAACGCTCAGCTGCGTCGATCCACATGCTATATGTTCACTTTCCTCTGTCTTTCCCTGTTACATTTGATGCAAGTTAAACAAATTGCTAAAGTAAAATATATGTCTACTCACCAAACGTTGATTGGAAGGACAACTCTAAGGTTTCCTCGGAGTGTCTTAAGCTAAAATGTGACTCATTGAATTCGAGTAGTTATGAAATACCAGGAATTTTATCATTGTGGTATATGGTTGCATCATCACAATTCACGAGGTTTTCACGTGCGATTCTACCCAGTGAAACAGTGTTTAACTCCGACAACTTATTTCTGCACGTTTTAAAAGCTATTGCTTCTTAAAAGACAAGAGCCTTTTTTAAGGCATTGGTTACAAAACGAAACAGGTCTTCATACATACGTTCTAGTTACTATTATTATTGTGAAAAGCCAATCTGCATGAGATGTACAGTCACACAACTGGCAAGTGAAAGTGTTGGACTTTGCCCCTTTCGTACATGAGGGAATTCGAGTTATCACACAGTAATCGAGTAAACAGAATTATAAAAATAACTCATGCACACAATTTGCACGTGAAGATGTTGGTCTTTGGCCCTTTTACAATTCGTACTTTAAAAAAACACAAATTGTTTACTACAAAATTTTCTCAAATGATTTTAAGAAATCACCTCGGCTTTACAACATCTGCAATTAAATTATGCTTCATGTAACGTCAAGATTGATAGCCTAACATTTATTAACTTCCAAGAAAATTAGCAAACTGCCGAAATATATTTCTGCTCATATCATGTTACTCCACTCAATAAAGCAGTATCTAATTATTGTGTCAACTAGCTTCTTCCAATTTTATTTATGCATCTTTACTAAATAAAATAAGTTTCAATAACTATAATGCTTAGTATACAGGAAGGATGTATATTTCTACAGCTTGTTTACAGGATTAACAATACTCGGTACAGCTTTAAAAAAGTAAGCTGCCTTTCAAACTTCTAAAACCACATTTTATAGGCCGCATACTTTCGAGTTAAAGTCCATATCTAAATATCAATTATTGCTTCACTGGAAGAGCTTTGAAAATATATGATCTTTTATACTCAAATTCGGTCAGAAATGTCTTGAAGTAGCATCCACACTAAAATATGAACCCTTAAACAGCTGCATCACTGTACACAGCGTTTGAATCATGAAGATATTTAATGTAATGTTTCCAAACACCTGTAGCCATGATAAAGGACAAAAAAATTGTGAAGAATCAAGATGGCAGTCTTAAAGTGCCCTTGTTCGACCTTTGGCAATATCATTTTTAAGTAGATACCAAGATCTCATTGGTTCCTAAACATCAACTCATAGTACCTTCAACCTTATGGGCTCTTGCAACAAACATCCGAACATACAAAGTTATAAAGATACAAAGCCACAAAGATACATACGCTCACACCACTGACATATGAGCTATGTTTTCAAAATAGCTCAAAAAATGAAAGGGGGGAAACAACTTGTTGTTCTGTTTGAGTTTGTTACTCGCATGTGATCATGTCCTCTCTATATATATACCCCTATATTTGGACTGAAAGACACGCAGTAAGCGCGAATGCAAATTATAAGGGGTGTATAACTGTGCATAAGTACTTAGAGGGTTTGCCAGACAAGCAAGTTTTCACAATACTCACAATACTTTGATTGGAAATGATTTATCAGACACAAAATCTCTTTGGGGGAATAAAAGATTCAGTCCAAAAACAAGCAAGTTTCCATAAGGGAGTGAGTGAATCAATCTAGCTTATCAGCGGAACCATGGACAATAATTAAAGAAATTCACCGACAATTAAATTTCTTTTCAGAGATACCCCTCTTTAAAGCTTGTATGAAACAAAGTAATTGTCTTAAATGCCTTTTTAGTTTAAACTAAGGCTAATAAAATGAACTGTATGTAAAAGGTGCAAGTAGAGAAATACGGAAAAAGTTACCTCTTCTTACTTTTTTTTCTTGTAGTTATAAACATTGTCTCGAAACGAAGGGTGTATTTTTACAGATGGCGTTGATGATCTGAAGGGATGTAACCAAAAACGTCTTTTCCATGCAATTTGAAATCTTAGGACTTGATATATTTTGCTTTAGACTACCTTTTTGAGCAAAGAATCTTTTTGGACAATTCAGAGTTCTTATTGGTTGGTCTGAAATTAATTGATCCTTAAGTTCCAGTAATTAACTTAATATTATTCCCAATCTTAATTTAATTCTTTTCAATGCAACTGCTTAAAATTTTGTTGTCTATCACAGAAATTCCTCAGAATCGTCCTGTGAACAACCTAAGCAACCCACATGTGCCTTATGACCTGTCTACTGCATTTTATGGTCCACCTGGACAAAGAAATATATTTGGAGACTATTCCAAAGGAGGTTCGTTTCCATTTAAACAAGACATTTGTCTAATATTTGTCATAGCTGACTACCAAGTGCTTGCCAATTAGGAGAGTGGCACCTTGTGTCAGTTATCAATTACTGGATGAGGCTGAGTATGATTTTCAATAGGACAATTGCACGATGACAATATTTAATTGACTACAACTACCAGAATTCATTTCGGTTTTGCTTTGTTCTTTAAATTTGTCAATCCCGCTGAGGATTAAAGAACAATAGCCTTAATTTGCCCAAGAAAACAACAAACCCAAGGATTCTAGTAGTAATTGTAGTAAAATGTCATCATCCTGCAATTGTCGTATTGTCACCACCAGGGCTGATAGCAGCCTCTGAGTGAGATATATAGTAGAATGGTTCTATATCTGATATTATTATTTTTTTTTATTTCAATATTTATCCAGGGGCATCCAATTTAGCAGAGCTATTTTAAATGGAGCCCTGACAAAACACAAAAACAAGGACATTAAAACATTAAAATTAGACAATTAATTAAGTTAAGACAACATGTAACGCAGGTGTTATTGTTTAAAGTGGCGCTTTAGCTTGATTTTGAATTCACTGAGGGTCTCTACTTGTCTAATGATTCTTGGTAGGGTTCTCAGGTGAAGAGTGTGATGTAAAAGGAGAAAGAAAGAGGCTCCACATCTGGATAAAAAAAAAGTCATAGGCTACCAAATGTTAGCGGGAGAAATCTGCGTAGTAAACAGAGAATTCTCCAATCTCCAATGCCCAATGAACACCTTGTAACTGACTAGAATACGCCTAGGCTTTTTGTGGTATTGGAACCAGGTTAAGCTTCATTTACCTGTGACTCAGACCTGCTTAAGTTTAATTTATTTGCATCTAATACAAAGCATATGTTTAAGTAATACAGTAAGTTGCTGTTAATCATTGCCTTTGATTCTTTATCTATGAAAGTATTAATTGCCTAATCCATTGCTGTTGATATGCTTTAGAATTGGTCCATCTTACAGTGCTTTATAATCCATCCTCCCCTTCTAAACTTAGTATGCTTCAAAATACAGACCACTCAAACTGTTTACAATAGTAAGAAGGATATCTTGAGAGTAGCAGACAGCTTTTAGGTCTAAATGTTTGTGGTTGTTACTCAATTTACAAACCTAAAGTAGTAAGTACGTGGCAAAAATTCCACTGGAAGCAGCAACATTGCCAGCTCCAGCCCATTTTGACTGAGCTAAAATAATGAAGAGGATTTCAGTTATTCCATCGTTAATGTTTTTTTGTACCACTCCATGGTATTGCTTGAATGTGAACTGATTTTTGTATTTATTTGATCAGATTTAAAAGAAACGCGTCCTCCTCAAGAAAATGAGTATCTCCACTGTAACAACTTATCTGGGAGTAGACTGTACAATAACTATGAAGGGGATGAAAGTAAGTGTGCAGTAACTTAAGTTTGTAAATGCAATGTGGAACCTCATTAATACAGTCACCAATGGGTCAGAAAATTTGCCCATATTAACTGGGTGGCGGTATTACCGGGGCAAGGTCAAATTTCATGACTTGAGGGCCGTAATGACAAATACACCATACATCACATTCACACTTCTTAAACAACTGTTCTATTTATTAAAAAATATTATATTATAAGATCGGCTACTAAACCACCCAAAATATGCATTTTTAGTCTAAAAACAATACAAAAAGACTGGCTCAGCTAACTACATGTACGTCAATCAAATTGACATGTCACCGGCATTTAATTTTCTAAACTTTGTACAAGTGGCCATATTAATGGGATGAAATTATAAAAGATTCTACTGAGATGATTATTTTAAAATGCGGCTGTTGTACAGTTTTTTATTAGAAAATGTATGGCCATTTTGCTGGGTCAACAAAAGTGGCCATTATGACAAGGTGATCTTATTACCAAGGTGGCCCTATGTTGAAAAATGTACTCACAGACTACAGAGCATGAGAAAAGCACTATCCTATACCCTGTATTTGTAGTAGACATGAAATGCCATAAGCTGCCATTAACGAAGAGTAAAAGTATTGTTATTGTAAAAAAGTAGTTATACATAACTCCTTGGCTCATTGCTTTTATTTGCTAAGGGTATTGGCGAGAGGTTACATTCAATACTCAGCAGAATATGTTTTATGATTTGGGATCACCACTGGCAGCAGAGCCAAGGCCACAAGGTATGTACTATAAATGTTATTGACTGCTGCACGGAACTGTATTTTTGTAGAAGTTTAATTTTAATTTTGCAGACTAGTTACCACGTAAGGAGATTGAAGGGGGATAAAAGGATCCTATGGAGTAAGGTGCCAGGGATATGAAGGGGTCATTTCAAAGGGAAGAGAGGAGTATAGGAAAGATGCAGAGAAATAAAATGACAGCTAACACTGGAGGAATGGTTTGCTAAATAATTTATTATTACTTCATGAAAGTTTTTCTTGTAATTTTTTTTTCTTTTGCAGTTCGACATCCAGCAACTGTTCTCCAAAATGGTAGGGACAATAATTCGTTAGAAGAACAAATTGTGGCCTTTTTCAAGTTGCCATGACAAAATTAATCAAGGAACTTTATTTAAAAAAGACAAAGAACTGTCAGTTGGAGGCTCATTTTCAAGGTGCCTTCTTGAACGATTTAAACAAGAGATAAATAATATATGTACAGAGAATCATTATAACTATTAAAAGTATTAAAACTCAACTATTGACGGTACTTATCTTTAATCTTTTCAAAGGTTAAAGGCAAGTACCATCAATAGTCTCTTAAGCGACCGCCTTGGGAATCTATAATAGTGGTTGCATCCATTTACAAGAATAGGCTCTGCTGTAGGACTCGGGGAGGTCTGATAAACTTCTTGTTAGTGGTTACTTACAAAAGCCTTAAGCTGAAAGATAATGGTGTGTAATTACCTACATACATTTCAGCTAAATTAATATTAATAGTTTCTAATTTATTAATCATAACATTCAAAGTTAACTAGTGGTCATGTAATGTATTATGTATGATCAAGTGTTGACTGAGTAGTTCCTTACGAGAACTTAAAAGCAAAGGAAAAACAATGGTCATTAAGATTCTAGTCCTTAGAAAATTGTTGACTTTATTTGGTCTGTGAAACTGTAAAATTTAATTTCACAGGCTCATCTCAAGGTGAAGTGAGTTACAGTGAGCTACAGACTATGCAGCGGCCGCCGCCCAATACTATCCCACAAAGCCCACCAGGTATCAAAATCACAGCTTTGGAATGAACATTTTTGCTTCTCTCTTTTGGAATATTCAGTAATAAGTTACTTATCACCTGTACTGATGTCTTTTTGTGCATAACTTGTTTAACTTATTATTTCATGATATCTTTGTCCATAGGATCTCATTATGGTGACGTAAATGTGGAATTGCCACCTGTTTACAGGCAGCACAATTTTAATCCTCCGGGCCCATCACGGCTTCCTCCAAGCCCACCACGGCCTGGTAAGTGAATCCAAAGTTGCAAATAACAGTTAGAGAGTGTGCAACTAAGATATGCTCCATATTCAATGAACTCTTACCTGTGGTCAGGCATAATGCATGACCAAAATAGATAAAATACCAAAGACAAACATTTTCAAGCTAAAGATTTATAGAAGGTGACCAGAGGAGCCTGCCATCCTAATCTCCAAGCTGCTAGCTTTCATTTGGGCTTCAACTAAGAATGAATGGAATTCAGGGGACACAAGAAATTAAAAATCACGTTCACAGGTTGCATGATGTTTGCATGTTTTCAATAATCAAACATGACAACAACAACAACAACAACAACAACAACCAACCAACCACGTTATTTTGCCAACTTAAAACATTGACAAGAACAGCATAAATTAAAATAGGTCAGGCAAAAAAACTACTCAGAATAGCAAAGAAGAACTAAACGACCTGAGTAGTTACAACAATTAAATTACATTTTATATGGTTGCAACACACAAAAGATAGGGGAAGAATGTCATAAATTTAGGAGAGAAAAAAAATGATAAAAAATAAATTATACGAACAAGAAGTGATTTTGAAAAGCATTTCACTATAAAAAATTGCGATAAAACATTTCTTAAAATCATTTTAAGAGAAAGCCAATTCACGGTTTTAAGAAAGTGCCAGAGCAAATTTGATTGTTTAGTATTTGAAATGCTCTTCATCAAGAAACTTAAGCCCAATTTAAATATTCAGACGGACTCCATACGTGCGAAACTCTATTTATAGACCAAAAATCACTAACTTATTTTGACTTGATAATGACGTTCAGCTAACGTCGAAACGTCGTCGCTTTTTAGCAATTTTTTAAATCTTAAAATGATTTTAAGAAATGTTTTATCGCAATTTTTTATAGTGAAAAAAATAAATTAATTAATAAAAAATATTAATTTAATTAAGATAAAATAGAACAACATAAAAGGAAAAAGCAAACAAACAAAAACAAAAAATGGTACCAGAGTATCATAAAGTTTACATTAATAAGGGTATAAGTTATTCAATACTGTCCAGCATCCACAGTAAGTTGATAAAATATCTGTTTTCATTGTTTGCTTGAATAGATTCAGAGAACTGCTTTTTAAATTTTTATCCAGATTATTCCAAACAAATATAAGTGAAAAGAAGTTGTCAAAAGCCTTAGGTAGTAGATTGTGATGGAATTGAAACAGAAAACGGCAGTATGAATAGTCACAAGATCCATGAGCTTGATTAAACTTAGCTGTGAAGACAGTGGGCTAGAATGAGGTCTTTAAGATTATAGTCCTTAGAAAATTGGTGACTTTATTTGGTCTGTGAAACTGTAAATTTTATTTCACAGGCTCATCTCAAGGTGAAAGTAGTTACAGTGAGCTACAGACTATGCAGCGGCCGCCAAATACTATCCCACAAAGCCCACCAGGTATCAAAATCACAGCTTTGGAATGAACATTTTTTCTTCTCTCTTTTGGAATATTCAGTAATAAGTTACTTATCACCTGTACTGATGTTTTTTTGTGTGTAACTTTTTTAACGTATTATTTCATTATATCTTTGTCCCTAGGATCTCATTATGGTGACGTGAATGTAGAATTGCCACCTGTTTACAGGCAGCACAGTTTTATTCCTCCGGGCCCATTGCGGCTTCCTCCAAGCCCACCACGGCCTGGTAAGTGAATCCAAAGTTGCAAATAACAGTTAGACAGTGTGCATCTAAGATATGCTCTATATTCAATGAAGTCTCGCCTGAAGTCAGGCATAATGACCAAACAGATAAAATACCAAAGATTTATATCATTTAAAGCGAAAGATTTGTGGAAGGTGACCAGAGGAGCCTGCCATCCTAATCTCCAAGTTGCTTATATGCATGCCCACCATGTATGTAGTTAGCATTCATTTGGGCTTCAACTAAGAATGAATGAAATTCAGGGGACGCAATCTGATCATGCGCATTTGGACCTTCTATCATTTGTAATCTGATCACATGCATTCAATATATAGCACAGCATTGGAGCAAGATCAATTGACCCCTTGCAATTCTCTCCCTGCGTGTGGATCGAAAGTAAATACAAGAAGGAATATACTATTTGCATATCGTCCTGTTACAGAGAAACATATTCATGGGGATTGTTAGAAGGGCTTTAAATGCAATATCGGACAGGAAAAATGAAACTTAATTTCTTTTGTGAGATTTAAAGAACAGAAATTACTATTAAAATGGAATTTAAGCGACCAAAACTAACCCTGTGACATTTTGTAAGGGTAGAATGACAATAATTTTTGGAATTTCCGGTTAGATCAGATTAGCAAGGCAAGCTAGTACTGTCATATGCTATATCTTTGGTGGCGGAGGGATGAGGGAAGGGGTAGCCTGTGTACAGACCCCTCCCCCCTCTCCTCAGGAAAAACCTGAGGGAAGGTGGAGGGTCTGTACACAGACAAGGGAAGGGAGTGAGTTGTGGAAATGTCCCAGTTAAAAATAATGACAATCGCTTCTTGCTTGAACAGAGTTATTCTCTATCCCGTTTCACAGCCGCCCAATGAACCCTCACTATGGGGGTCTTGTTAGTTCTGACCTGATCAATATAATAAGTTGACTTTGATGCCAGCATAGTACTATACCCATGCTTAGACGATATAAGTAAAAGGAAGTTGTCAAAAGCGTTAGGTAGTAGATTGTGATGGAATTGAAACACAAAAAGGGGGCAGTATGAATAGTCACAAGATCCATGAGCTTGATTAAACTTAGCTGTGAAAACAGAGTGCTAGAATGAGCATCACGATTAGAATATGTAATTATTTGCACTGCCTTTTTCTGTAAAACTACAACAGCGTTTAGAGTTGTAGCATAAGTATCACCCCAGACAATTAAGGCATAAGTTAGGAAAGAAACATGGTTTTCCCATATCAAATAACAGTGACGTTTTGAATTTTTTCTTCGTAGTCAATGTATATTTGTGTGGTTTTTGTTTCTGCAGTGGTCTCAGACAAGGTTGCTTTGGTCATTGGAAATCAAAATTATGAATGTCAAATGTTGCAAGGACTTGCTTATCCTGAAAAAGATGCTTATGATGTGGCTTTTGCTCTTCAAAGACTTGAATTTAAGGTTGGTAGGGAGGGAGTCATCACAAAAGTAGATTTCAGAGATCCTCTTTTTTTTAATGGACAGAAAGTAATCTTCAGTAACTAAGAAATTTAATTCACTACGATCCAAATGAATACGTGTGGTATTTTCATTATTCTTCACATGAAAGTATGTTTGTGGTTTAGAAAGTTCATGTTAAATTTCTATGCCATACAGCCTGTTGACATCAACCATAAGAGCAAACACTGCAAAGCAAATTTTTACAGGTCCAAAGTAGAAGAGCTAAGAGAGAGTGACCCTAGATCGTGGTGGAAGAAGACTCAGTGGAGCAAAATCGTATTGCTCTAGTCACCTGCTTGCCCAAATGCATGTTGATGAACTTGAGAACGTTTCTACACAGAAAATAGCTGATGCGATTAACAGCACTCTGTTTGAGTCCTTAGAAGAGTAATGGCTTCTTAATGACCACGCCCTTGAGAATTTATGCCATTGCCATTATTTGAGTTTGCATGCTGCTGATGTCAATAAAATATCAAAAATTTGACCCAGTTTGCTCATTCACACAGCAAATTATCACCTATGTATGTTGTTCTCTTTCTTGATTGAGTCACCACAGGCTGCCCAAGACTCATGCAAATGCATGCTGACCATTTTTCTGCAGACCCCTTCCAATCGGACGAATTCATACGATTGTGAAGGAAAGGGTTAAATGATTGCTTTAACCCTTTAGGTGCCAAGAGTGTACAACATCAATTTTCTCCTAACAGCATCAGCACATCAACAAGAGTTACAAATTTGATTACCCAATGGAGAATGCTTTGATCTTGAACCAAATTCTCTCAACTATTCTCAAGATCACCCTGGAGAATTTGGTTTTGGATCTTGAAGCTTAAAGGGTTTAACTGTAGAAGAACAAAAGGGGGAGACCGAGCAATGAAAAACGAACACAGATAGACTGAGGAAGATGAGAGTGTGCTAGGTTTAGGTTTTTTAAAACTTGAAATCATCAGCCAGCTCTTTCTTCAAAATAATGCATGGAAAATTTTATGTGCCAATGATTTTGCCAATCAACTTTAGCATTAATTTGAAGTCATATTTGTTAAAAATTACGGAAAATCGTTCAGAAAAAACTTGGCCTAGCTCCCTTGATGCACAGTGGTGAATTTTTTTTCGCTTTGAAGGTTGTATCCCTGGTAAACTTATCCTTGAGCGAGATGAGGATTGCAGTGTTATCATTCACTAGGATGTTAGGTGAGATTCTTCATAGTTAACCTTAAACTCATAAAGTATTGATTTTTAGAATTGTAGCATGATAAAGGTCAGCTTGGTGAACTTGCAATACGGTGGTCCGGGCTGGCATTCCTCTCCAACCTGTCACTGAATTTATTTCGCAGTCACTGCTAATGTTCAAGTCCATTCACTTGTTAAGCCTGGTTCTCATAATTATGCCACCGAAGTACCTACAACATATCCGCCGGTACTGCTTGCCTTACTACTCTGACATACGAGGACATAACACTGCCGGCAACAAGAAACATCGCAGGTCTTTTCTGCCGGCATGCTTGCAAAGTCGAGTCAGGCATGCCCGCGGTAAAGACTGACATGGCCTCTGTTGCCGGCAACTTCTGTTCTCATATCGGAACAGTGTGGCAGGCAGTACCAGCAGCTATGTCGCAGGAAGCTCGGCGGCGTATGAGAACCAGGCTTAATGCTTGTGAATAGCCATCTGGTTCTGGTTTGCTTCTTAATTGCACGCGCAGGTTTTAAGAACTAAAACATGTCCAGAGATCAATTGGATTCCAAAAATGATTCTCCAGTTTTGTTATTAAGACTATATGTAGCCATTGAAACTATTTCCCGTTGTCTCTTGATATGGATGGCGAGGATGGACATGGATTCAAACTTGAAAAAGTTGGGCCAACTTTTTCAAGTTTTAATGGTATGCCTGCAAAAATCACCAAAACATTCTTATGTTAAGTGCTTCCTGATGAAATTTGTTTTATATTTCACAAATCTGTTGCAGCATTTTAATTTTTTTGTATGGGTAAAGGTACTAAGTCATGACTTTTGCACAGAATCGACCTTGAGTTAAATATCCTCGTGACGTAGCCCCGTAAACTGTTAATTTAAAGTTGAGTACTTACGGTATTGCCTGATTTGCCCCACAAATGATTATTAACTTACAGCTTTCCATGATTGCTGAGATGACCATATAGTAATTGCAGCCCCCTCTCTGGTTGGCAACCTAAAAACAG